ACACTTGATACAAGAACAAAATGACTCAGCTGGGATGAGATATGTTTAGAGATGGGATACACATGTAGTCTACGGACTGTGAAAAATGTTATGGAATCGCTAGGCTACCACAGACGAGTACCACAGTGGAAATTTGCAATTCGTCTTGCAAATAAACTGATACATGTCGCTTAGTATAGGGAACGATTGAACTGGTCCTATGAGGATTGGCTTCGGATGCTGTAAAATGATGTGTCTACATTTTCCACAGCTGGCTTCAGCAATAGTCCATGGGTAATACGAAAAGCAGACAAGAAATACCATGCCAATTGCATTGATAAAAATTTTGAGTCCAGTCACTAAACGAAGATGATTTGAGGGGGTTTCTGTAGTACAATGAAGTCAAAGTTAGTCTTTTTTTTTATTCCCTGCAAAGCTAAAGTTGACTTTGCCTTATATGTGAGGACCATTATGCATTCTCATCTTGTTCCATTCTAGCATTGTTGTTGTGAGGCCTATGGGTGAGTAACTGTAGTTGAGGATGGCGTACCAGGTCATAAAGATAAAGCTATCCAATACAGAAACCTGAACGAGATGGAAACCACATGATGGCCAGCACAATCACCTGACCTCAACCTAATTGAAGCGCTGTGGTTAGATATGGAAAACGAATTGGGGGAAACTTGGGGAAGAATTGGAGATATTACAACTTTGGAAAGAGAATTGAATACTATTTGGGATGCTATTCCAAATGAGCATCTGGAGAGCCTAATTAGAGGCATGCCACAGCAGCTTCAGGCTGTTATTGATGCTGAAAGAGGAGTAATATGATATTGGGCTTTTTTTTTTTTTTTGTATTTAGGAATGGCATATAAACACCATTATTGATTATCATGCATCCTATTCCAATAGTTTTAGTTGCTGTAAAAGTGCCTCATCCATATTCAGAAGTGCTCCTGACTTTTTGCTGACACCAAATTGCACTCACCAGATATCACTCAAACTTCCTTATCTGGTTTAGTCCACATATAAATGCCACATCTCTATTTGGAAGTGCGCCCGATCTGTGTCGACCCCCTAGTACTTCTAGGAGATTGAGCACCATGAAAAAAGGAGATTTCTTGCAGGCTTGTATCGAATTCCCCAATATAGTATTTCTAAAAAAAAGCCTATATTCCGCTAACATAGTACGGCACGCTTCTCTACACTTGTGTTGCACCATAAGACTGCGATGCACTGTACGCGTCGAATTTTTACGATAGTCCGTGTAAGTGAAAGAGAATAAATGGCTCACAGTACGCTACACTATATTTACGTCTGACGAGTCACGATAAATTACCATGCCTGAGGTATCCCATGATTGAGGACCCCCATCAGGATCAATCCGCTTGGTCTTCTGCAGGGGGAATGATATTTGGGCCTCAAATGGTGAGAAACGCCGACCTTTGTCTACCCCTCCCCCAGGCTTATTACATGCCCGGGGAGAGGGGGGCGGGGCGGAGGAGCGAGGGTAGAGAGGACTCATCCCATCGCGTTCCGCCTTGAGCTCATTCCTCTTTCCACACTTGCCCCCGCCTGACGGTATGACACCTGTTTCTTTCTTCCCTGCTCTTGCTTGAGACACTAGTTAACTGCCCTCGGGGGGAGAGTTCAACTTGGAAGCTTGGAGAAAGCCGAATTTTTAGGAACCACGACGCTATCACTGTGCAATAGTCCCGTGTTATGTTTTGTTATAATTATTAGGGATAGTGTTCCTGGGTGGGGATCGGGTTCGAAACCAAAATGGAAGACGGACAAAAATGGGGAGGGGTAAGTAATGGTAAGGATTCACAGATGTTGGGTACTCTCTCTCTCTCTCCGGAAGTAAAGGGGTTTAAGCAAGCCTACAGTACTTTTGACGAGATATTTGGGCAGACTTATCTAGAGGATGTGTAACTTTATACCGTAGTATCATATATATCCATAGTATCGTTCACTGCCATGCTGCCGCACAGCTTCTTGTAACCAGGGAAGCGTTGCCGACACCGGGCCGGTTCAAGGATAATGTTTCTTCAATGTCTAGGAGTGAAAATTACTAGGCAGCAGGGATTAGGGATGGAGGATTGTCGGGGGGGAGGACTTCCAAGATAGAACATCTTGGTGTTCGAACCCCGACCCCAACCAACGGACTCGCTTAGTAAAGGATGGTATCACTCTCTTTGCTCAGATAAAAGTTTTTACTAATGTTTTGCGAGTACCGTAAGGAGGGAGGGGTCGAGTCCGACTTCCTCCTCCTACTTTGAGAGCCATGATGGGATGCTACTAGGACATAGTCCAGGCGTTAAGTGTTATGCCACTTCAGAAATCACGTCCCTGAGGTCGCAAGTAATTCAAAATGGGCTGGTAGAACGAACAAGATTAAAAGAGTGGCAAAAGTGTTCGTAAACCTTTGGGCACTGCCTCGGATAAATAGAGTATCATATAATACGTTAAATTAAGGTTATCTCCGATGAGGCATCTGGGGCCGGATAGAGCCGGAGGCAGGATAAGCCTTAATGATGGTGATCCCCACTGTATCACTCGCTTCCGCGCCCACACACGAAACTTCTTGATACAACAGCGGTTCCGTTCTTGACGTTGGGGGGGGGGGTTTCATGGCCGATATTTTCATCAATGCCTGGGACCTAGAGAAGGGCCTTAGGTAGTAAGGGTTAAGGGGAAAATTGCCTATTGACCCAATTTGGGTGGAGGAAATGATATCCTGGTTGGAAATTGGCGCTATCCATCCCCAATTTGAGGGCTGGCCATTTGTTCCAAAATTGGAGTATGCTAGATTTTATTAACAAAATGGGCCATGTCACCCTATCTGATTTTAGACTCTCCTGGATTTACTAATTAGCAAAAAAAAAAAAAACCATGTTTTGGGGAATAGTGCATGCCCGACCTCCCCCACCCAAAATATTCTCATGTCCACTATACCAGCCTATGTTCTAGATCTCTTGATCAACCTCTCGACCCATGGACCATACGTTCATGTGCATCAATAGATAGTCAAACATCTACCGTACACCCCGAACCAACCCTAAAACAACAGCGCTGCACCACCTCTGTGCCGTGCCTTTCCGAGAGCTGCGCCCGTACCAGGGCGCGTGGGTTCCTCCTGGACAAAGCAATCGCCATATCATCCGTGTGCCGTTCTCCGTCATGAGCCTGGTGTCGTTGTTTGTCTGTTAAATCCACTACAGAAATATTAAGAAATAACCTATGATACGTCATATCCTCAACTACCCACGGCACGCTGTTATATGTTTGTTTTTTGTTTTAGTTTTAGTCGGTGACGCCCAGAAAATGAGATGGTGGATATAGGTTAACCATAGAGACAATATAAATTGCGGTCGGGAGAGGTAGCCTGTAGAAAGCCGCAAGGAATTATATATGGTCGAGCCACCGGACCCAGGTATGGGTCCTGTGGAGGCTCGATGTCATGAATTCTCCGGTTGTAGCTGAGCCCTGTCCAGGATGTGAATGATGGGTTTGCTTTGGACGACATAAGAAAGGAAAAAAGAAAACATGGGAGACTGCAATGGATACTGTGGCAGTCAACCCTCAAGGTGACCCGTAGAGGAATCGCTAACTTCGATACCCCATCTTTCAAGCCCCCCAGCATGAGTGCACCCCATCCGGATGCCCTTCAGTCTGGGAACCAGAAAGCTCCACCAGTTCCTCTAGGGCAGTGCAAGTTGACGAGGCTCAAGGTTCTCATCACAGGAAGGTCGTTCCCAGAGTTCGAAGGGATGGAATGTGTGCCCTTTCGTGCCAACTACCTTCATCCAGAGACCCGAATCAGTTACTAACCCCGTTTTAGAATAGAAATCTATAGGAATGAGCTTACGGCCAGGGTTGTATCATATCGCATGACTCTTTTTGAGCGTCTGATCCTCCGGACAGAACAACCTACCCACATTCGCACCGGCCAGCTGATGCCCTCGGATTCCTTGACCAGAATGTACCCTTCGGTAATCCCGCTTGGAATCTGGTCCGCGGTGGGTTATTACCTTACCAGTATTTCCCAATTGCCAGAACCATCAAACTCGTGACGAACTGTAGGTAAACTATATGAACCGCTGATTGACCTAAGAAGAAAAGGGTAAGTTAAAACAAACACAACCCAACAGAATTTAATAAGCACAAACACTACTTGTATGATATGAACTCTTGTTTGCATGCTCACAACATCTCACTCGATCCTCAGGCACGAGTCTAGACCTTGACAAGGAACGTGGAAGGGGGGGGGGGCAAGCCGCAGTATGATATAACCGTTTTTTCTTCCCCCAAGGACCAGGGCCGGCGGTATGGGCTGTCCCAGGGCTAATTTTGAACATTAATAATATATTACGATACCAGCACTACTTCCCTTCATCCAGGGTGTAGTATGATATGAAATATCATAATACACGAGTACAGATATCTAGCTGAGGCTCTACTCGAGTACGAGAGCAAGCAGAGAGGAAGAGAAAATTTACGTGAAAGACACCGGAACGAGCAAGACACCTCAGTGAGCAAACGGCTACACTCGAAGCCTCAAAGAGGACCCTGCCGGTGACCTAGTGCTGTAGTTAATTTTCTCCTTTTATAGCCAGTCTTTGACCTTCGGCCTCCCTACCACTCTCACATGCCGGTCTTACACTTCCACCCGAGCAAGCTTGCATCCACAGTTCCACTGAGGCCTCACAGGAGGCTTTGACATTTGTTGGTTGCACTCTGCTAGCTTTTTACATCCAATGCATCCTGTCAAAGATGGCCATTGCATGCGGGTGTAGGGGGGCTAGTGCTGAGGGAAGGAAGGAAGGAAAGATGAGAGATCTGGTTTGGTCTTTTGTGCTTCGGGGCACATAGTATCAGCCTCCTATGACATAGTTCGGTGTGATATATATTAGAATTCATGATTTATAATAATCCCATACAGAGATTGTGCCCGAATTCTCCCCCCACATCACAAGTTACAACACACAATCAACTTCATACAGAGGAAAATTGCAGAGTGAAGCATGAGAGTGAGGCCCTATGAAAGCCCTTTGCTATACGAGTACATGATACCAAACCCAAGGCAACGCCCTCCTCTACTCCCACAACCCCGTCCCCTAAGCGACCCCCCCTAAAACCCCAAGTTCGCCAAATTTGTCATCCCCTCCTTCCCATCTTGTGAGCGAGTGGTGTTCGATTGGACGTTTGCTTGCCCGTCATTCCCAGCGGGGAGCGGGGTTAATCTACCGAGAGTGGTTGATCGTCGGGGTTGCGGATCATCAGACTGCTTGCTCTGTGGACTGAAATGCTGTTTCTTTTTTTTCCCCACGTTGCCATTGGTTGCTTGTGAGTGGTAAGGGTCGGTCGGCATGTGATCGAGTGATCGTTTGTATCATAATATTATGGTTCACAGTTTCTTAAGCATAATGCGTACCATAGCTGAAAATGAACTTGTTTGGGTATCATAATATTATGATATCTACGATAACGTTGCTGTGGCAGTTGTTCGGGATTACATGGGGGTAAATATCAAGCATGTAGCATACCGAAGACAGTTTGGATATCAAGCACCGGTCGTGAATACTACAACTCACCCGGAATCGTCCATTCTCTCATCGTAGTCATCACCATCCAGAATCTCATCCTCGTCAGAGGAAAATCCTTCCACCACCTCAACATTGTCCATCCCTTCCTCCCAAACCGCCTCCTCGGGAACCTTCCCACCCTTCTCCCTCACCTCATCAAAACACTCTTCAGCGCCTGTCCTCAATTGTTCCTTCCTCCCCAGATCCCTCTCCTCCTCCGCAAGCGCGTTCAACACCATACCCTTCATCAACCATAAACCAACCATATCCGGCCACGGCGGTGTCAGCATCAGCTCCTCAATCTCCTCCCGAACCTTCTCAAGGCCTTCTGGCTGCATAACACGCAACCGAAACAGTGCAGGGTAGAACTCCAACGCGGACGCAGGACCTGTACGTCCAATGTCTCCTTCTTTCCTTCTAGCGGCGGAAATTATCGCAGGGTGGTGGGCGTGGATGCGGGGACGGTATGGGTAGAATAGGATTAAGCGGTTCAGGTATTCAATCGCCTTTTCAGTGTTCGCGTTGGTGGGAGCGGTAGTGGTGGGTATCCGGAGGAGGAGGTCGAGGCCTATACTCCAGAGGGGTCGAAGATCAATGCCTTTACACCGTATCAGCAAAGCAAACGCACGAGCCGCACGCGGGTAGTCTGCATCCAACAAGGTTCTGTGCAGGATTGTTGTAATAACTGCTAAATGCTTTGCCCGTAGGGAAAAAGGTTTCGCAGGCGGGGCTGTGAGAGAGTGCTTCGCTAACAGGTTCACAAACCGCCGGGAGTGGTTCCCACGACGGTGGATTGCTTTCGGCGAGAGGTGTTCTACTTCCGTATCGTTATCCGAGGGCTTAGGGGATGGGGATGGGGATGAAGGTAAAGAGGGAGGTTCGTTGATCGGGGTCCATGCTGGAACGACTGGGGGTGTTCTAGGCGGGGAGGGAGTTCCAGGTGGGGATGCGGACAGCGGCCGCTTTGGGGGGGAAGGGTTTCGGGGATAGGTCGGGAGAGCAAAGTAGGAGCGTTGATCAGTTGATATATTCATGTGAGGAGTAGTAGTTGTTGTTGTTGTTTCTGTTGCTTTTGATTACCAGTAGAGAAGGGAGCGTGAGGGAGGAGGCTCTTAAGTTCGGGTAAAGGTGAAAGTGCAGAAGGGAGGGAGGACTGATGAGTGAAGTGGTGACGATGGCAAAGGGCAGTGAAACAGTTGGGTGTAAAATCTATTCGTAGTAGAATTAATTATCGGGTTAATCTTGGGAGCATGGCTAAGCGAGGTCTTGCCAAGAGGACGAGTGACATCCTGGGTCACCAAAATGAGAAATTCTACTCGAGTACAGTACCTACAGTACTGTACATGATAATTATCATGTTCACATATGTTGTTGGTATGTAACTTAGTGTCACAAATGTGGCTTGGCAGGGGAAAGGTTTTCACATGACACATGGTTATGAGTCACAGGTATGTTATGATTTCACACATATGACACATTCGAGTCATATGATTTATTATGTTGGTTTGTTATGATTCGCACATGGCTCAAATATGAGTCATGGGACGTGCGCCTGGTGAGTATGCCTTGCAAGTGTGCCTTGCGGGTATGCCTTGCACATATGATTATATTTAGCACATGACCTTGTTATGAGATGGTGGGTTTTGCACATGTGACTCATTCAAGTCATATGACTTGTTTATTGCGTTATGATTGGTTTATGAGTTTTCGCACATGACCTTGCTACGAGGTCATGGGTTTCGAGCATGTGACCACTTGAGTCATATGACTAGTTTGTTATGATTTGGTTTCGCGCATGTGACCACTTCGGGTCACATGACCATGGGTGGGAAGAACACTATATAAGGAGGCAGATGTGGCCAAGGGGAATAGGTTCTTCACGCTTTGTTCTAAGTACTTTTCCTACTTATTACTTTAACAAATATAAAACACCTTTACAATCTTTATCTTTATTGCAACATTATCGTTATGCCAAGGAAAGCTCTTCATGAAGAAGAGTTAGAGAAAGCTTACGATAAGCATTCCTGATAGAAGACAAAGGTCTTGTACTATCAGTAATGTAGGCAGAGGCCTAGATCTATTATAAGACTAAGGAAAAAGACAAAAGGAGAAGAGAAGTATCGTTCCCTGTCGCCAAGAACTAACTATCCGAGGAGGGATCATTACACTTAGTTCTTATAATATTCAAACAGGCACTGTTTAGAATACCTATTTCCTCAAATATTTGTATTAAGATTGCTCTCTGTACAGTACTCTATCTAATGCGGCATAGTTCAGAATTTGACCTTCTTTGCTCATTAATGTTGTTGGGTCCTGGGGTATTGGCATTTTTAGTATAATATTACAACGAAACTGCAAATTCGACTTCAACACGATTACAATCATAAACTTCTTATATATCTACTTACTGACTAATATACAACATGATATTTCCTGATTTGTTTATGCTTGTAATGAATGATAATGCAAGCCCGATTGTGTGTTCATGAGGAGGACACAGCTAACCGCTGGCACATAGAGTTCTCGAGTACTGTACAGGTGCCAGGCAAGATGTTTTCGTACTCGTACAAGGCAAGAATAGTTAAACAGCAAATTATCCCTGTTTTCGTAGTATGTATTCTTGACTGGCACTTGTACTGTACTCGAGTACTCGTATAATTACTTCACTCGGCGCAGCGCTGGAGACATCAATCCATTGGCCTAGCGATCTCTACTACTCGAGTATTATTATGACGGCTGTCCGGTTTCAAACTCCTAAAATCTATTATATTATTATCAACGAAGGTCAGATCATATGCCTGGTGTAGGTCTAGTTTGTCATCTTAACAGAATTGTGAACACCAGTTAATGGGACTCAGCGCGTCGGTTGTCCTGAGGGCTGAGCTTATACTTGTTTCGGGAAAACGCTAAATCTGCTTTTGTCACCAAATCCGGAGACCACACGGTTGATGAGGACTGTTGATACTTCGGGCAACAGGAAAACCAACCCCACCACCCCCCTCCACCTTCCAGCGAAGAACTCATAAATAATACATCTTATTAACTCCTTCGGTTGCAATACAGTTCCCATCCTCGCACGTGAAGCAGAAATGTTCACACTACCGGTAGTTGCTCAAACACCCATTCTCTCTGAATCATCTTGACCTTTCGAACGTGTGAGTCTTTCTCTCCTTCTCCATCCATTCTTTCTCCTCCACTGCACCTTCTGTATGCAGCCGTCTTGACACAATCCACAAATGCCTCAATAGCATGATAATTTATTTCCCCCCTCTTCCCTTCCTCCTCGCTCTCTTTCTCTCACCCCTCCATCATCATCATCCATTCGTTCCCTCCTCTTTGTCTCCCTGTCTTACGCTTCTTTGATTAAGGCCGAGTGTTTTAGCGATGAAATTTGTTTCTCGAACTGCGAGGATACACTCGTTGCTACTCGGCAACTCCTCTGTGAGTTCACTCGAGATGCCCTTCCCAACTCGCAACTAATGGGCATGTGGCAGTCCACGTCACTCAATTCCTCGGTACGAGCAAGATTTTTAGCTACGGGGTTGCAATTATGTCAGAGTCCGGAAAGGTTGGCGGGGGCGGGGATTGCGGTGACTACTACCACTTCACAGCCCGGGGCTCCAGGTTCGAGGAGTCAGACTGCTGAAGAAAATAGGGTTAGTGTTTTTTGAATCCCCTCCTTGGAGATGATTGGAAGGGGTTGTTTTTCCCCCCTTCGGCTGCCCCGATTCCTGACAAGGGTGACTATGACAGGACTTGTACCTATCTGTACTATCATCTACCTCTACAAAGCGAGAAGCAAGGGCATACCTACAGCGCTTTACACCCTCACTCGCTGTGTCGCCAACGCAACCCGGCGCTCCCTCGCCTGCGCCTCCCCCGAAGCTTGTGAAACAGTCCCCATTAGCTAGCTCAGATATAAAGGCCCGGGGTCTGACATACGCGCAAGAATCATTAGAAAGCAATTCAACAGTGGGACCAGGTATTGCGCCGGCTCTATTAGTGTCTGAAATAGCCCAGGAGGACATTCATGTTGGATTGATCAAGATTCGGGGTGCGAGCCATACGGACGATGCTACGCTGAAGGGGGTGGGGAGGACGATATGTCAATTGCAAAGGCTGGGGTTGTTCACCATTGTGGTAGTGGACGAGGAGCTTCCTTCGGCAAACGGCTCCGAGGCAATTGCAGAATGGCGGGCCGATATCGAGAACCAAGCGGATAGGGTCGTATTAGCCATTGAGATGGAGAGGGGGCAGGCTAGAAGGGTAGATGGTACTCTAACAGTTGATTTGGAAGGATCTCCGCTGAAGGTTGCACCAAACCACATCACCACCCCGCTTTCCCGTGGGGTGATACCAGTACTTTACCCAATGGCATATAACTCGAATCAGTGCCTGGTTCCTGCCACGGCAAACAAGGTAGTATTGGAATTGACGAAACTGCTCTCAGCCCACTACCCACAGAGCTCCCCGATAGACCAACCCATATCTCTCGACCGAATAATCTTTCTCGACCCTCTCGGCGGAATCCCCTCTATCGACCGCCCTTCCGGAGCACACGTATTTATAAACCTCGAGCAAGAGTACAACGATCTTAAAAATCAACTGAACGACCATCACCTCTCAAACCTCTCAACTCTACGTGAAGCCCTCTCCCTCCTGCCTCCCACTTCCTCCGGCGTAATAACCACCTCGACCCTAGCAGCAGCCCACAACTTGAACTCCACCTCCAAACACTCCAAAAACCCGCTAATTTACAACCTCCTCACAGACAAACCCCTAATCTCCTCCTCTCTCCCCGTCCAATCATCCAGCCCCGCGACACTAACTACCCTCCTAAAGCACGGAATCCCGATCACCACCCACCCATCACACACAAAGCTCACCGATGCTTCGAAAATAAACCTTGCGAAGCTAACACTGCTAATTGAAGACTCCTTCGGAAAGAGATTGGATCTGGAGCACTACCTTTCCCGCACCAATGATAACATTGCTGCGGTGATTGTAGCAGGGGATTATGAGGGGGCTGCTATAGTCACCTGGGAGTATCCGAGCGAAGATAAAACAAAACAGCGAGTGTGCTACTTGGATAAATTTGCTGTGTTGAAGAGAAGTCAAGGGACGGGTGGGGTTGCGGATGTGGTGTTTAAGGCGATGGTGGAAGGTGTTAGGAATGGACTCTTTGAGGGTACGGAGGGGATAGTTTGGAGGAGTAGGAGGTGGAATCCTGTTAACAAATGGGTATTCACCTTCCCCACTCAACCGCAGCATAGGGGAGATGGCTAATGAGAGGTAGTACTTTGAACGAGCGAAAGGGACCTACAAAATTCCCGGTTCGGGGTGGACCATGTTCTGGACTACACAAGATGCGGAGGTGAGCGAGAGGAGATTCGGAGAGTATGCGGAAATTTGTGCAAGGATTGAACCAAGCCTTGTTGACGAGTGATGCTTTTTCTTCCCCTCTAAAAATATCCCTACATCCCTACTTGTCGGGATATGATTGTTGTGTATGGTAAAAAAAAAAAAATAGATTTTTTACTCTATTTCGTGTTGAAGGAAGGGTTGTTTGGGTATTCCTAGTTTACTCCAGAGTGAATGGTGATTCGTATGTATCTTCTGGTTTCAATCACAATCTTTCGGTTTCAACTACGAGAGACTTGCTCGCCCACGCGGTGGTGCAGCTGTGGTTTTTAAAACGAGCGAACTGAAGAGTCCAATCATTTCGGGCCTGGAGCAATTTCTGGAGGATTTCTAGCCCGAGTGATTTTGTATGAACATGAGCTCTCGAGCCAAGGTGAGTAGAAATAATTAGTTATGGTCGTATATGCTCCGCCCCAGTGCGCAAGTGACTCACTTGGCTGAAGGGATATCTAATCGATTAGGTAAGTCACTTTGCGACTAGAATATCCTAATAATATTATCATAGCTTGGTTGCTCCCCCAGACCATCCGTAGAGAAGAGAATCGGGCGAAGGATTTGTGATTACCTTCACGAGAGGGCAAGGGATAATTCTCAACGATACCAATTGAATGTCACAATACTGTACTATCATACCGTGGAAACTCGTTAAACGCAGTACTGCATCCTCCAAGCCGCCGCCCCCCCGCTCCTCCCACCAGAGACAAACCCAACGAGAAGGAATCACGTCTCCCAGACGCGGGTATAGTGTGGGTGAGGTGAGCCCGTTCGCTCTCATCGGCCGGTAACTTATCTGTTATCTTTGCCAACATTCTCTGCCATCATAGCTTGCGATCTATAGAGTATCCGGACACTTTAGCACCTCCCGGGACGATTTGCAATAGTGCGCGGTGAAGTCAGCGGACTCACTTCGCTATTGTTCGGCGATAGTGCGAAGGTTCCTCCTGCGACTATCGCATGTAACATGCGAGCAGTTCCAAATGCCAAAGCAGCGATATGATACCTCACACGTCGACCCCACAACCACCACCGCCATGGATAGAAAGCACAGAGATTTCAGAAATTATGTGTATTCACCCCCCCTCCCCCCACTCTCCCTTCGGCTCGTTCTCTTACGCTCCCTTTCATTATTCCACACCTTAGGTGTATACAGTGTCAATATCGTAACTACGGTTCATGGCCGACTCCAGGACGGTAATTGTCCATATTAGTGCACCGTGCCGTTCATTTTTTCCCTTTTTGCACCGGCGGACGGCATACTGAGCGAGTGATAGTAAGTGATTACACTTTTTTTCTTTTCGGATTTTTAATGTCCACAGATATACCATGGGTACTCAGATAGAGGGTAAATGTGTTAGGACGTCGTATCCACCTCTCTCATCAGGGTGCTATACCTATTCCCTCTGTTTCGCCTCAACTTGGGGAATAAGTTTGATGTGATTTTCCCCCGGGACTGGACGAGAGGGGGGAATTTCCACATTTATGAGATCTCACGGCACATGGAGGGATCGAAGCAATAACGAGGCTGGGGTATCTGGAGTATTGAGGATTAGCAGGACTGGGGTTTGGGTGATGCGTTCCTCGAGTTTTCCCCCCTTGTGTGATAAAAGGCTCACCCATACGACACCCCCAAGTCGGTGTTCTCGAACGTAGCCATTTCAGAAATAAATCTACCGCGCACACACACACACCGCATATATCACAGATAGTATGGGTACATTACGGGATACCGACTCTTAAGGTGTTGTACGTTGGCTAAGTAGTGCAGCGTGCGGAGAACAAGGAGGATGATACGGTGTGAACGAAGTGAAAGTTATCCGTTAAAGCATCAGACACCACGACACCGCATCGCTCACCAATAGAAAAATTTGCCGAAATTATCCCATCCGACAAGTAAGATCGCGCGCGGTATTGTTGGAAAATGGGGAAGGAGGGTTGCTCTCTAGAGCGAAGCTTCTTATGATACTCCACCCTTTCCTTGCTTAGCACCTAACTACGATATCGCCTCAAGCAGATTACCGGTATCATACCCACGGTGTCACTCGAGACCACCCCGCTGCACCCGGCGACCCGAACACTCTGGGGTTATTGGCCTCCACATTTCCACCCGATTGCGGGCGGGGGATATGGCCAGCAGCCTCGGGATGCTGGCTAGGTTAAGAATATAAAGAACGGAACATCCTTTTCCCAAGAAACGCCACCGATCATTAGTGCAGCAAGGAAAAAATGTGAATCAAGCTGCGCAGAGATAAGGGGACTCGGAGGATTTGTGTATCACTAAGCTATGGGCCGCCGAATATTTTGTCAGACACACGGAGGGATGGTAAGTATTGGACAGGCGCTGGATATTCACGTGCGAGTGAGTGAGGAGGGCACATCAGTGGGTAAGTGCCACGAGGAAAGATATATGATCAAGATCAATTGGTCACTGTTTCCAGATTAATAGTAACTATTGGCACCCGACCCTTCTGAGAGAGCACGAGAAGTCAACAAGGCGATCAATGATGGAAGGTGGTTTGATACTAAATGGTCATCCTCACCCTCACAGACAGGTTCAGGTGTTCGTACTAGTGTCCAGAGGCCGCAGTTACCAGTATAGATACATGGAGGAAAAAGATTCTCGTATTTTTCTGCTCCCCCCGCTGATCCCGGACCTCACCCCTAACATAGAGGTCTAATCTAGAGTCGGACTTTACCTCCTCGTAGGATAGTATCATACGCCCGATTTGCGCTACAGCCCTATATATTGAGGAAGGCTAAGGTCTTCGGTCTCCCCCTGGTTTCCATAGTGCAGGATTCCTTAATTCTCCTACCCTACGCGCTGGACCGTTCATTAATAACTCATAACGAGGGGAATCGAACTCCCGGGTTCCCGCTAATCGCGCGGTGGTTAATGTTCTTTGACATCTTAGTCACTGCGCCAGCTATGTATTTCACGTAACGTTACCGCGGAATCAGATACTTGTCCCATTAGGGTATGAGTTTGTTTTTGCTTTCGCCTGAGTTTAAACGCTATTATCATGATACTAGCATAAACATTGAATGAATCATCAGAACAGACAGGTCCTCAAACGAGGAGAACTATAAACATTGATTACTTACAGCTACCGGCGAAATACGCCAATATGCAAAGCAATAATCTCAGCCAAGATATCCATGATAAAAAAAAAAGTGGACTCAGCTATGGACAAAGAAGGACCTACGGGGTATTAAACATTATAGATAGATGCAGGCTAAAGGTCGTCAAACACCCGTATAATACATGGACAAGAGTATCATATACAGAGAAGGGCCATGAGAATATGATACAATATTCACGGCTCATGAAAATCCCGTTCAGGGCACTACGCCGGACTCGGCCGCTAGGAGTAAAGGCCTTGATAGGGGAAGGATGTAGTCCGAGTGATTATTCAGGCTACACCACGATTGTGCACTGGACGATAGAAGCCAAGTCAGATACAGTGCTTAGACTAGATCTCGTACATTCAACGACAGAAGCCAGGATACACCAGCTCACTATCCATGTTTCACAATATTACCGAATCAAACCCATCAAGTCACTTACACTTCTATAATAATATTATGATAGCTGAAAGGTAAAACCGCCAGCCCCCGCTCCAGGGAATCTCCCACAAGCATCCTGGGTGGAAGCGCAGTGCGCAGTACTAACCCACACATCTCATAGTTGTAGAAAACATCTTAAACCATTAACGCCACGCCTAAGAACATAAAACACGAGTATACTAAAAAGGGTCTGAAAAGGCCATTATACCACGCTACCTTCCAAGCTCTCTCCTCAATCTTGCCGCAGCACTCCTCGGCTCTGGCGCTGGCCAGGTTGGAACCAACCCGTCAATTTCCTACCACATAGGTTAACCCCGCCGTCCACAACGCTAGGGAATAGATAAACCAACATCCATAAAACCCTTACTGTTCAACAAGCTAGACCCGCCAAGTACAACTCTAACTCCCGGCGTTGAAGCGTTAATTTGCGCAACCAACTTCGCTTCCTCATATGTTGTACCTCCAGCCATGAAGATAACGATATCTTGGGGCTTATCCCTTGTTGTTCCACCACCTTCCACGAACGGATGGGTGGCCTCTTTTAGACGGCCCTTGATCAAGTTGTTGAGGGTCTGCTCTAGACGTGGGGTGTGCTGGGTGTAGACATTTTCTACACCTTTAAGACCTTTAAAGCCGCTGCGTGCTCGAGAGAAGATACTATCCGTTTCGAAGAGATCTTCTTGGCGTTTTACAGTGGATTGATAGTGCAGTAGGTTGGAGATTGTCTAAGCTCGTTAGATGCGGAAGGATCGAGATAGGGATACAGAGAATACATTGAGCCGGGAGTGTGGGACTCCATTAACTTGAAGTAGATCCAGAAGGACTGCCAAGGCGTTGTTGGGGTGCTTCTCATAACGCAAACTGTAGAGTGCTACTAACCGGACCTTGTTTTCGCTGGGAATGTTCGATTGCAGGAGACGTTGGAGAGACTTACACCGTTAATAAACAGATCAGTGTTAGGCCTCGAAAGGCCAAGCATACCTTTAAATCAGCTCCATGCGAGTCGTTGCAAGCAAGACTCTGCTCGAGCTCACTAACCTCTAGTAGGCTGTCCTTTTCGACCCTCCTACTAAGCTCCCCAACAAGTGTGACATGCTTCGTGACATTCCCGGAAAGCCTCCGGAACTCAGGGTACTCCTCAACAAACCTCTTCATATCCGCAATACTCTCGATATTCATGTTTGATTTAGTCTTATGTTGATATGTATCCACATAATCCTTGATGTTCCCACCGAGGTCACCGAAATTGAGATACATATTCTTCTTGAAAAACGGATCCTGATCTTGCGAAAGCACGATTTCCTAACCAAATGTCAGCAGCCACACTAGTCAAGTCCCAGAATACCCATACTTTTAGCTCAGGCCTAACATCCGGCACCCCGGACAAGTCCACCCGTCCATTATGTATCCCCAACAATTCGTGAACCATGGCCTGATACGTCCATTGCGATAGCAAGGGTGTAATCAGGTCATTCCTGCGATCAAGGATTAACAGAATCGGTGGTGTATCCGCCCTTCTCCCAAAGTCAAAAAGTTGGTCCTCCTGTGCAATCTGATACTTGATCTCCGACGCTAATTTTTTCGCCAATGCACTGTTCTTTTCATACCGTACGAGCGGTCTCTTCTTCAAGCTTAGTAATATCGCGAGAACCCCCTCTGCAGAACGCACTAGTCCGTCCCCGTTCCATATATCCGGCGATGTAGACCATATACGCCGTTGAGCACCGCCGAAGCCTAGGGAGAATAGATCGGGATTAATAACCAGAAAGTCGGCAAAGTACTCGTGGACCACGCGGACCACTTCATGGTCGTCAGCTTCTGCGAGGCGTTCCAGTGATGACTTCTTGACAATGTTGCTGAAGTCTTCCCATCCTGGGGTTAGCTTGCTCTACCAGAAGGTCGGAGAGAGGCAGAGTGGGGAGTAATACATATGTGATATTCCCCATACTTTGGGTCCCGGAGCTCATCGATTAAGAGCTGTATCGCATCCGAAGTCGGCCGTACAAAGCAAAGACACCGAAGATGTCGCATCTTCTCCCGATCAGCATTGTCTAACCGGCTAAATAAGATTAGCCCCCTCCCTCCGAGCTCATAGAAAGCCGGACAAACTCTATCAGGTAAATTTCATGGCTGAGCAAGGTGGACTGTGTGACAGCCGTAGATATTATGGACACCTGAGCAACATTAGACCTCCGGAACTCAATGGGACGGGGGGTGGGACTGACGGTTTCACTGTCGAGGAGGAGAATCTTCATTTTCCCAGAAGAGCCTCCGGCGCCTGCTGACGACACCATCTTCCCGACATAGCTCGAAACGGTGGATATTATATCCATATTTGCTGAGGCTGGTTGATTAATGAGGGCTGCGATGGATTCCGGAGGTGTCGAAGAGGTCGGTGCCAAGGCTGTGAGTGTGCCTGCAGCTTTAAGTATGTTACACGAGCCAGATGCCTAACCCACCTCTAAACTTCGGCGTCACTGAAGGACTACCGCGCTGTATCATACCGGTCTACCAATCAACATGAACTGTTTATGAAATAATATAAGTGGAACCAGCAAAATCCTAGATGCGACAGATTTATTGGCAACTGCGATACTAGATCAAATAATTATGATAATGTTATGCATCAGCGAGAAAAATGTTTCCAGAGATTCCTCCTATATATCTAACGCCTATGATCCAACCCCCAACATCAGCTCTGCAAACTCAACCAACCGCTTCACAATTGAAAAACAGCGCTCAGGTATCATACACCACAGCCAATTTATTAGCTATATTTAGTGAATAAAAAAACGAAGCCCCAAACAGGTGACAAAAGAAACCGAGCTAATCCCCCGCTTTCCACCCCATGATTCATGCCTCGTTACAACCATTCCAACCCTAAAAACCCTCTGTCATATCCCTACTATTGATAAACTCATACACGTGCGCTGGCAGCTTATACTGAATCATCCCGGCGTAGATCATCACGTTCTTAGCTCTAGTCTTAAGTTCAATGAGCTTCTGGCTCCTACTAGCGTCCGCGTACATGCTGTCCCGTAACTCTGCTGAAAGGCGGCTACAGCACTCCACGGTCATTTTGAGGAGAATGCCGACATTACTTGCAACCGTATCATGGAGGGTGCCGAAGTTTTGAGCCCGGCGGCGAATGGAGCCCACATCTGCATCCTTTTCGATGGGTATCACATCGACATCCTGAATAATCTAGAGTAGAGATGTTAACGCCGATCACACCCACGAGTACAGCACGAGAAAAGACTCACTTGGAGACATAGCTCCCATTTTCCTTCTCGGTACCTCTTCTTTGCCTCCGCAATGCTAAGAAGCACCTCGGCAGCTTCCCTGCTCCTAATCGAAATTTTGCTATATATTGCGGCATCGTTGGCGCACATACCGAGCATGCGCTTGGCCAACTGAACCGGATCATCGACAGACGTGAGGGAAGAGTCCGCATTTGGCAGAGCGGAAGTCCCGGCCTGGTGGCTGAAGTCCAGCATAACATCTTCAGAGGCAATAGAATCGGAAAGACTTTTATTGATGATCTCAACAACAGTCTCAAAATCCTCAGCCAGGTGATATAACAGGATTGCATCTGACGCTCTGCCGTCATCATTCGCTTGACCAGCGGCTTGCTCCGTAATCGTTCGGAGGTATTCCCGCTGGTCGTCCAATTTAATAAGCTTCATCCTCCTTTCGATGGCACCCTTCTGTCTTGTCCCATCGGCATGCACGTCACCAAGAAGCTTGGTAAATTCTCGAGTCTCCAATACGAGTTCCCTGAGCGCATCGTGGCAGATAGTAAGGTGCTGATCGCCAGCCGGTGAAGGCAAGTCGCCATTCAGACAGATAAGGCAGAGATAATCTACAGCCTCCTCTGCATTTGGTGTTCGGAAGTCCCTAGTGTAGTAGCCAATAAGACGAGGAAAGTTAATCTGCTTCTCTCCTTTAGGTCCCAAAGTCACTACGATGGCAAAGTTGTTAGCATCCAAAATAATCAAATCGTGGGCAATTTCTTACGAAGATCTGTGTCTGCCTTTGCGGGATTGGCGGTTGGCCTTAGCAGCCCATAGTAGGAAAGCGCAATCGCAAAGTGAACACCATCCACAAACTGGAACGAGTAGAGATAATGAACGGCCTACAACTTAGTTAGCACCTAATATCCTAAAATGGATAGGAATAGACAAACATACATCCTCGAAAAGCCCAGACATCAACAACATCTGGAAGTACAGTCCCACATTGCTTCCCTTGGTTCCGAAATGCTTGGCCCCAAACTGGATGACACCTTTCTGTAAGTCCTGCATTGTGAACACTTCGTGTGCCGGATCCGTAGATCTATCAATCTCGCGGGCGAGCACAAGCTGGAGCCACATCCAGTCTTCTGCCGTAGGCATGACAGTAGGCACAGACCGCTTTGCAAGCTCACATCGACCAATAATCTTATACACCGCAGGCTTGAAGATATCTTTAGTGTCCTCAGAATGCTTTACACGATTGTTGTACTCCGCTTGGATTCTGTCAAGGAGATTTCTGGGTAGCCGGCGCTCATCACCGGCGGAACAGTATGCGTGAAGATATGTTGGGAAGCTGCGGTCAAGCTTCTGGAACGATTGTTGGTTTTGCCTAACAAATTCATCGGCTTCCTCGAGATAGCCAGCTCGAATAAGATAGAAAATCAATGCCCAGCAAGGAATGTCGGCAACAAAATCAAAATTCTTGATATCCCATTCGGGTATATCCTTATTGGTAGCTAGTTTGATGTTGATATAGCCACGGAACTTGTGGAAGACGGAAGGAATACCGCCAACTTTAGCAATTTGAGGGTTTTCGGCAATAGCACTCTCAACAACATCCCGGTACCTTTAGAGCCATTAGCAATCATTTATCAACACTACGCGAGTTGGAAGAACATACTGTTTCTCTAAAAATCTCCTCGAGCCCCTCTGCACATGTTTACGAATCCTGGAAGCTTCCTGACTATCGCTCGCTGTATCGATAACATAGTCCTTGACAAAACCTCTCTCTCGAGGCCCACTGAAAGGATTCGCATCATGGACCTCAGATTCACCAGTGATATATGACAACAACATCCACGAGTCATGAAGTTGAACGGTCAACTGCCAAAAAATCAGCAACGACAGCCCCAGTCATGTGTCAAATGAACCTACCAAATCGGTGCCAGATTTGCCTGTAATATCCCCAAATGTCTTCATCACCGGGAAAACACCACGAGCAGCATTCCCAGACTCCAATCTAACTTCATTCATACGTCTGATAGCTAAGGTATAGTGCTGTTGCCTAACCTGTACCTGTCTGGACAGCTCCAACTGCCTCCCAGGGTCAATGTCACCGAATAATGTCCCCTGGTGACCACTTGAAGCGGCGGCAGATGTGGAGCGCCCGAGAACACTATTACCCAAGGTAGTCTTCGACCAAACACTTGTCTGTAGCCCCCTCCCCGGCCCAAAAGACGAATTCAATCTCGAGCGTCCAAAAGACGATGCCCCGAACGCACTAAGCCCTCCCCCGAAACCACTGGCGCGTAAATCCGCAGGGCTACCACCGGCAGCAACAGCCGATCTTGGAGCCAAACCAAAGTGCTCAAAAATTCGCTGTTTCTGGGCTTCCCACTCCATCGTGACGTTTTTTGCAACAAAGGCGTCGAAATCTCGGCCCGTCCGACGCATCCCATCTTCAATCGAAGACATGACATTCTGCTCTTTCCGGTTACGAAGGTATGTCTGTCCACTAGTCAGTAACAGGATATGGATATGCGTAGAGGCAGAACTTACGTCTAGGTCCGTATCGGCTCGAAGGCTAGAAGGCTCGTAGGCATGGTGGAAATCAATAGAGTCCAAGTCACGCAAGACTTCATCAGTGTTTATTCCTCCAGCAGCAAGCAAGTAGTGTCTGTTAAGAGGTACCCATAAAAGAAATCAGCATTCTACAAAAAAAGCACATTCACGGAATCCGACACATACGCCCTAGCATCTGTTTGTCGTTGCCCCCCTGGCGCTCTCCGCAGCTCTTTGGCTCGTCTCTCGATCTCGCTCAGCCCTAGCTGGATGGGAGGCAATTCACCAGAATCCTGACCCTGGCGTAGTTTTCGCGACTGCTCCAACAAAGAGCTAAAGAGCGTAGATGTTGGAAAGTTGGCAACTGGTTCTGTCATGGTGATGTGGAGCTAAGAAATCGCGAAATTCAGGAGAGGATTGTGGAAAAACGTGGATGGACGGTTCACGCGAAAGATTCGCTGGAGGAGCATCAACACGTGACAAAGGTTGGCTTGGCAGATACTTTCCATCATAAACTTTGATTCGCTTTTGGGCTTCTGGATACCCTTACAAATTTACTACCTTTTGAATGCTCCCTACGGGTACAACATAGCACCGTTATCGCACTAAGAAACTATGATAATAATATTGTCATACATCTAACAATTCCCACTCTCTGTAACTAGATCACCTCTACAGTACAAATGCCAACTGCTATTTACCTAAACCATCTATCCAGCTTCTGCAGATTTGGCAGCATCCTCATCCTCGGATTCGTTATCGGGTAATAACTGCAAGTCCACCGTTTTGGCGCCCTCTTCCCCCCCTACCCCGTCCAAGGCCTTCAGCCCAGCAGACGTAAGGTAGTGGAACAATGGTGACTTAAACGAGTCAATAAAGTGGACGAATTGTGTAAATCTAGCAAACGTTAGCGTTTTACAGTTGGAGGAGGTATCCGAGAGCATAATCACATACACGTGAGCTCTCTCTTCCTCCTCAAACAGCTTGGTATATATCATTTTATCCCGGAAGGCACCTATTTCCTTAGCATATTTAGAGAAGTCTATAGGCTCTTTCTGAAAGTCTCGTTCAGCTTTTCTATTATAAGCATCGAAGACTGGAGATTCTAAAAGAAGTCCTAGACTGGGTGCTTTTGGTATAGATACTACTCGAGGTCCGCATGCCTCCTTGATACGCTCAAGGGGGCAACCGGTCCGGACGACCATCATTACCATGCCTACCATTTTACCTTTTTGGCCTGTTAGCATTGGGAAGATCCACTGCGTCTTGGAGTAACTCACGAATTTGGTGCATCATAAAAGATTGGCCGTGAACGCGCAGGGACAACCACTCAGTATTGTTGATAATTATTGGATCTAGCACCTATGAAAATCAGCGGCAGCCAACGCCAGACATTTAAATAATGTACTTACCTCAAACGACTTGATAAACCTCTTGGAGCTAGGATCATTGAAGGTTTTCTGGATCGTGAAGTTGTGAAAATTGTGAGTCCCTTCATAAGATCTAAACCCTTCCCGGACCCTTTGTAACCTCTTAGGAGATATCCGGTAAGTCTTCTTCTCAGCGCAGTATATGGCCCCGATTTTCTTCCATAAACCGGCCCCGACATTTATATCCCCACCTACTGTATCCTCTCCAGGAGGCACATTCGGATCGATATCCACATTTTCGAAGTCTACTGTTTCCTCCTGCCTGTCTATTCTCTCTTTGCGTTCAGTCGCAGCTCCAGATTTGACTTCATATTCCAACGCCTTATCAAGAATTTCCTTGTCCACGTCACCCAACTTCTCGTAGATCTTCTTGTTGACTTCATCCCACCACCCATCGCATTCCTTATTTCTTTCTAGGAAGGCTTCCAGGTCGCCCTCTCCCTCGGCCGCCCCGTGACAGACCTTGGCCAAATAACTCTTTGGATGGGGTGGTATAAAGCAATGCGACGGAACTAGATACTCGTATCGTCTACTATCACATTGGTGATATGAGCTGAAAGACCCAACTGTACGAACGATCCCCCAAACTCTAATCTGCTCAGGGAGATAAGAATTTATCTTCTCCGTGATATCGGGGTCCTCAATGATGAGTTTTAACGATATGACGTTGCCGGCTGCATGGACACCTTTATCTGTACGTGCGCACCGAACCAGTGATGACTATTCAAATCAGTAAGGCCCCAATCTCTAGGATAACGCAGAAGTGGGAAGAGGAGACCTTCTTAGGATCATCCGAATTAGCTTTAGAAATAGCCCCAGCCTGTACGAAAGCTTCAAACAAATCACTCTCAATACTTTTATGTGGAGGATTTAACTGCATCCCCCGATACCCGGTCCCACAATACCCAATCAGCACGGCAACCTTCTTCTTAGGCCTCCTCTCTTCTTTTTCTCTTCCTTCTCCTCCTTCCTCTCCTTCCTTCACGCTCACAGCCTCGGAATTCCTAGGCTCCCATTTAGAATCTCTATTGCGCCTAGTGAACCCGAAAAGTGTTAGTCATTGCACTGTGGACAAACCCCCCGAGGGAAGACAAACTCTGACATACTTATACGCCGTCCTGCCCTGGTCTTGTTTCTTCCTTTTGGAGCATGAGCTACTGCTGCCGCGCCCGCGACCATCGTGGTGTCGGGCTCGATTATCCTTGGCCCTCGTCGAGTTGCTGCCGGAAGGCACGGTTTGGTCGCCCGCGGGAGCGTCAATTGCGGGACTCGGGTCCGGAGGAAGGAGAAAAGCTTTTGAAGAATCATTGGTATCGGTCATCGGGGATGTGAAGGTATATTCCGGTTGAGAGGAGAAGTAGATACTGTGCCTAAATTATAATAATAATTATTACAAGTATTATGAAAAATATGGCAACTTAGTGGGCGCATAATGTGCGTCTGAAGCCGGGTAACAGTGCTTCCAGTCGGTCTTGGGACAAACAGATTGTGCTGCTCTTTCCTTCATCCCCAACCTTCTAATTCTCCACCCACGGGTACCAAAACTTAAGCTCACGTTCTGCTGAACCACCGCCCTTACTTACCAAGCTATAGACACAATGGATGGCCCCCGCCGCCCCCATCGCTCACACCGCTCACACCGCCCTAGAGATCACTCCCACTCACCGCACCACTATTCCCGCCACCACCGCCACCACGACCGTAACTCCCGCTCAAGTTCTCAATCCCGAGACCACCATTCCCGTGAACGTCATTCTCGAAACCACCACCGCCACCACCGCCATCATAAGCGCACCCGTTCTCCCTCGCCAACCATAGTTCGCCCTTTAAACGCCCCGCGAATCTCTCGACATGATTTCGAGTTTCATAGGGATGTGTTTGCAGACTACCTTGACATTCAGAAAGGGTTGACACTCAGTGAGCTGGACAGGGCCGAGGCGAAGGGACGGTTCAAGAGATTTGTGACGCACTAGTAAGCTACATCTTCCCCCTGCAACATGATCGAAAGGAAACCAGGGGCTAATTGGCAGTAATCACGGGGAGCTAGCGAGAGGGTGGTATGATCGGATAGTTAATAGGAAGGCCAGCGATTCAACGAAGGCTCCTGAGGAACAAAGGAGCAACTCTAAAAAAGATGAAGATTCTACTTGGCCGGAGAAGAAGAGGCGGAGAATGGACACTCCTCGGTCCGACAAAAAAGGCGAAAGTGAGGAAGAGAATGAAAGTGAGAACGGAGAAACTAGCGAAGAAGAAATCGTAGGACCATTACTCCCAGGCCAACAACCCTCAAAGCGATCCCGCGCACGGGGCCCTACAATCCCTTCAATAGAAGATCTCGACCTCCAGAAAGGTTAACTCCCCTCGCTTATCATATCCAACCCCCCACAAAATCAATCTAACCCCACTAGAACTCCTCCGCGAGGACCAAACCCTCCAACACCTTAACCTCCGCCATGCCCGCAAGCAAGAGCGCAAACTCGAAAAGGAGCGCCTAGAAGAACTCGTCCCCCGCGCGGCCCCTGGCACGCACGAACGCCAACTCGAGAAGAAAGCCGAGCTCAACGCCAAGATGAAATCCTTCCTCGAGAAGTCTCCGGATCTGGAAGTCAATGAGGAAACTCTCATGGGCTCTGGTGGGACAGATGGTTTCAAGCAGCGGAAGGCAGCGATAGAACGGAAGAAGAATGATCGCGAGATACGGAAGGAGGAGTTACTTAGGGCGAGAATTGCAGAGAGGGAGGAGAGGTTGCAGCAACATCGGGACAAAGAAGAGAGAACGATGGCAATGTTGAAGCAGTTGGCTAGTCGGTTTAACAATTGATTTTCTCTCCGGGTTTTTTTTCTCCCCCTCCCTTTCCTTTTTGTATGTAAAGAAGGGCATGTAGGCTTTGTATAAGGCATGTTACATTGCCAGCGTACACATAGCTTAACTTACTTCATCGTATGATATCGTGTCGAATTCCAAAACCAATACCCTTATTCTATTCCATCCCCCGGTGGATTAATTCCTTGTTGATCATAATATTATTATAGTATCATTCATCCGTTCGCTCGCCACCATAATCCAGTACCGTATTCTAAGAATCACAAAGCCTCACTCGAAAACTAACCCCTACCCCTCCCCCACTCTAACCTCTAACCCACCACAACACTGACAATCACGAAAATCTCCACCGCCAACCAACCAACAACGTCCCGACAATCCAGACCCGCCAATACCATCCCCCATTACAGCACCAATCAAACACACACCAGCATCACACAACATCGCACAAACCAACACAAATCTCAGCGTAATAATACCTCGCACACCCCGAGCGTGATTACCTCCCCGCCCCGAAACAGCCAGTTGCTTCACACACACCCACTCTAATCACAACATCTCACTCGCGCAGCATGTAAACGGTAAGGTACCGTAAGGTAGAGAGCTACGGCAGTCAAATCACCCCTTGATCGCTTCCGTTCCGGAGGTTCTGGCCCTTGCTTTCTTTCCCTCTTATGCATTCTTAACGCTTGGTTGGGGAGATTGTTGCGCTCGGGAAGATGCCCGGGCGAGGATATTGGGTTACACCCTTTTATACCCGCGCCCTGCGCTCGGCGGCTGGAGCAGGTCAGGGGGGGAAGGGGATGAAACCTTGTTTCCCTTTGCAGCCGTTATTGTTATGACACGCATCCGAGTTGTTGGATTTCTTCAGGGAGGTGGGTACGTGGGGGGAAGCACATGATTTGGAGAGTATGTACCCCACGATCAGGTATGCATACGCGTAGTGGGTGGTGTCCGGGTTTTGGGGGGGAGGGGTTGTCTTGTGTGTTTTTATTTTTATTTTTTATAGTTCAGATATTCAGGGTGATATCGATTTGGGGGCTCTTATTTTTTGTGGGGGCTTTGTTTTGAGGAGGAGAAAGATACATTATGGTAGGTAGCCTAGTGTACAGAGGGGATGTCACATTAAATACATTAGTGGTAAAAGGCGTGATAACCTGCCGGCAGGAGAGAAGGTGGGATACAAGTTGGTCTGCAAGGGAAGGGAAACAAGAGGAGAAAATGGGGCCCAGATAAATAACACCGCAACCACAACTCCAAAGAGAAAGAATAGGAAAGGAATAGGAAGGATATAGAAAAGAAAAGAAATCAAATCAAATCTCGCGAACCAAATCCATCCATTCTCCTCCTCCAAATTTTACCGGGGACACACCATTACACCGGAAGCCAAACCGCTCATAAAATCCCACCAACCTATCTCTTGCGATCAGTGCGATCCTTTGCACGCATCCTCCCACGCTCATCCGTTGTATGTATTCCTGGAGCAACGTGCTTCCTAAATATCGTCCCTGGTGTGCCGGTTGTATTGCAAGAGAATGTAGAGCAATTGTTGGACCAGCAGGATTATGAGGGGAGTTTCTGGATGTAGCTACGGCCATAGATGACTCCGTCACAGATGATGAGAGCGTCTTGGTTGCGATGACATGCCCGAGAAGATATTCTTTGCTTCGACGGATGGTAAATATGCCAAAACACAGCTCTGGACAGACCTTAAGGCGATACGAAAACTGTACTTGCTAGTCAGCCAAGTGTAAAGTGTAGAGAGGTGGGCGGGGGGAAGAGGTAGTACTGTTTCCCGAGGACACCGCTCGCTGGAGATAAAGGCTGCTTCTTCCAGAGCAACACAGGCCTCAAGATCTGAAAGCATAAGGGTTCGAACATATATTCTCTCTTTCGTGAATTTATTTGTAGCTGATCGCGTCCGCCTCAGGTCCGAGAATCCCATTTTCGTTTGTGTATACCGGTATCTTTTGTGTGAGCAGCTGCGATGACGGTGTGCGAAATGAGCGTGGGAGGGAGCGATATCTTATCTGCTCCCATTTCCTGAGGGGCAGGCTGACTCGCGGCGATATATTATTGTGAAAGGCAGAAATTGCTTCTGGGGGATCGCCGCTGGGGTCTCTCCAAATGGCTGTAGGCAGCTGAAGAGGGTGGCGAAAATGGTGCCCGGAGGACTCTTTTTGTAACCTAAGGAAGCTGAAGGAATGAGTAGATAATGTCTCACACCCTTAACGGCGGCCGCAAAACTAATTTCCAGTGAGCACAAATGAAATACCTCACTCTGAAAAGCAGGCTGCCCGCCAAGGTCCCCTTGTCCAGGCGCGAGGAGAACCTAGGAAGCATACCAGTGCGAAGGTGGAGCGGTGAGAAATTCAAAGGCAGTATTGAGGCTCGGAGCAATGGGTTGAGGTAGGGCTGTCGTACCTATATTTACTTGTATCATACTCACCACGAGCAATGATAATAACAATAATAGGAGTGGAATGGGGAATAGGGTACGAGTACAGGGCTCTCTGGATGAATGTACTAACTAGTACAGTATGGTACTGGTAGGCTGCACTCGTACTGGCACAAGTAGGCATAGTAGGGATTAACATGTTGGCAACTATGATATCGACCTTGCTCGGCGGAAGGTCGCCGCATGGAATGAGATATTGTGCATGTGTCCACGTGGGACGATGCGCGAAACAACCCGGCGCCTCTCAGATCTGATGGAATACCGGTAAATCTGCCCAGAATCGTACCTACATTATTATACCCTGTATGCCTGAGTTTCAATCATACCGGTACGGTATGCAACTCATGATCCCGGTACCACAATGGGAACTTGGGGAGAGAGCAGTAGAGCTGCTTAAGCGTCCACATCGAAGGAAATAGCGATTCTGAATTCCCGAAATTCCATAAATTTTACTCGGGCATGTCCATCAAATGTGAAGCTGCCGGTACGGTAGGGGCGCCCGTTGACAGGCAACCGAATAGAGACAATTTTAATGCGGCCCATAAGAAAAAGACTTCGACTCACATGCGGATTGCGCTTTATCTTGTTCCTCGGGACTCGCGCGCGAACTTGCGGGTGTACAAGTACATACGAGTACGGTGCGATGACAGATTGCCACCTGCTCGAGTGCTCGAGTCCTGGTGTTGCAAGTCTGGATTCCCAATTCCAAGGATTGGTGCGGCTGACTGGCTACCGGTACTTTCTGCCAAGCTTACAGCACCGTATCATACTCGTACCAGTAAGTTACTCGTACCGTATCATTTCCAACTCTAACATCCAACACTGCAACTGGTGGCTGGGCTTTTGTTCTCGGGAAAGCCGCCATGGTTTAGACTATTTGTTTGGTGGAGTGTTGCGGGCCCCGTTGAATGAGTATCTTTTTCCTGATATTATGATATCATAATATTACGGTAGCCCAAATCCCGACCAATTTCTTTCGTGATACCTAAAATGTCCAATACCCTTAAATCGGGGTTAGAAACATAACCTAACTTGTACTCGTATACCGGTGGGTGTTCCCTCAGCAGTATTCAAATGGCCTACGGCCTAATCCCATAGTATGATATCCATGATATTATAGATGGAGCTCGAACCTTTTGAGGCTGGGCGTCTAATACCCGAGGTACAATTTCAACTCGAACTGCCAGGAAATACTAGGACTTCAGTGGTTCAGGAAGCTGTTATCGGGTCCGGGGAGTGATATCAGGTCGGAAGATTGGATAGTTTAAGACTCCGGGGCGTTCTCGAACGTTTCGCGCTCCCAGGCCCGCGATGTGTCCCAGAAGTCCCAAAAAGGTAACTATCCGGATATTTCTTTCGGCTTGGTCAGGCTTTGTCCGAGCCATGGTGAAGTTTGTAGTCTACTTTATCGGCTGCACAGGTGGACGCTCTGAACAGGAATGGGAAAGCTAGGTATTTTTCAAGTTTCCCCTGTCAACAATAGTACTTTGGTTGTTAAAAAACTCGCGAGAGCACCATCTCTAGGAATACGGTGCCGGAAGTGTAACTCTATGGCTGGGACTGTCCTGTGAGATTTGGGGAACTTTGGATATGCTAAATTAGCCTTGTATTTGAACGAGCTTACTTGTACTCGAGTACTCGCGAATCCAGGTGACAACTAAACTGTGGGGGACTTGACTAGGAGACACGATCTATGCCTCAGGTCAGTTTGCATTCGCCCAAGGGGCGGAAGGCTGTTTTTCTGTAACCTGTTCTCCAGCTCCGGCTGAAACTCACTTGATATGGTATGATATCATACCTATTCGAATAAGGTCCGTGTGATATTTTTTTGTTCATGCAGAATGATAAGGGTCAATGATCTTGTGGCATGAATTTGGGTGTTTGAGCACTTGACCACCGGTAGAATATAGTACAGCTTGTCCGAGGCCTAAGCAGGGGAAATCAAACCACAAGGGTTGGCAGTTGGGGTCTCCAGTTTGGATTCAACAGCTGCCGTATGGATACTACCGTAGCATGATACAGTATTTCTGGTCTGCTGTATCATACCCCTGTGCCAGTGGGACAGGGGAATGTCTGGATTGATGGCTTGTATGATAACGGGTTCGAAGGGGGGCTGTTTCGGGGCACGAACTGGTTGGTGGTGGTGGTGGTGGGAGTGGGGGTGGGGTCGTACTCGTACTGCTACCGGTGCGGTGGGAGAGGTTGCTTGAAGGGATAGGTACGAGTAGACTAACACTAACCCTTCTACCCCTTTTGCGTATTTATGATATGTAAGGTGCAGGAATAGTTATGCGAAGGTACGATGCATAAATCATGTATTCCGGATTATTGTAGACGAATTGCAACACAACTTCCGATAAATGCCTACGTTATGACGTTATCTTCCGTTTAAACTGAATGCCGCAATTGAGAATGGAATGATACGCTTTGTTATCTAGAAAGAATCCACTCAACTGGGAAAAAACCTATTCTATAAGGAAGGTCGGAGGCCGGCTGGTAATACAGTAAAAGGTTATCCCCTCAATAGGGGGAGTGATTTGGCGTACTGGGGTGGTGAAGACGATATACCCAGGCTTTAACAGTACTCGGGTACTCGAGCACGAGTACCATGGGACACTATATCATTTGCCCCGGGTCACCAATGCACATATCTGCTGCTGTTCCTTCTATCGTCCCTGAGAGGAATAACGACAAGGCAGATACCACATTCCCATTGCCTAGACAACCTACCAGTAGAGAGGACCGGGCACCTCCACGGAGGGGTCACTCCCCGTAGGATATTAGAGAATAGCCATTGCAATCCGTGAGTGCCTCGGAAACAGACTACATACCACGTGCACGAGTCGCGATTTGTACTTGCATAGGATGTTAAATTATGTACTGTACAGTACACGAGGAATTTTTCAAACCTTTCAATAGGAGTACCACCCTTGGCGCGGTTATAAGTTAGGTGGCGACAGAAGTGTATTGTGCTTGTTATGGTGGAGATACCGGTGTGGAGCTCTCGGTGGAATCCAAGACATTATCATCATCATTGTTGACGCTCAATTTACCACACCATTCTCTCCACCCCGCAAAAACGATAGAGGTTATCACCCTGTAATGTCTCACAGGGGGAGGCGACGTTGAGTTTATTGAGCCTACAGTACTCGTACGGTGCTCGTACTGTATCCTACCATAATAATAATATTATGATACATATTCCATGCATTCCTCCTACAGTATCATTCAACGCAAGTATACAGTCGCACCTCGCTATAATGGACCTCTTTGTATGAGAAACCTCGCCATTACGAATGAATCGTACGGGAATCAAGACCCCTGCTCCCATACAAACAGTACTCGCTATAAGGAATTCACTCCAAAACCTCGTTATAACGAACAAAAACCCCCCAACTCTTGGCGTTCTTTATAACGAGGTGCGACTGTATTGTGTTTGCGTGCGTGTGCGTGCGCGTGCGCGTGTGCGTGTGTAAAGTACGGTACTTGTACCAAATATGGAGCTGCATATATGCTGTACCTCTTCCCTACCGCTATATACGGTACAGTATCATGCGAATAATGTATGAATGATTGAATGAGTGTGTATTTGTTGTGGTGGGGCGCTTCTCTCTCTTTCCTCTTGGTGCTTCTCTCTCCCTCTATCATCTCCCCCACTATTCTCTTGTTGCCCAATCCCTATCCTTCCCCCTCCCTCCATTGTCCTGTCGTCTGTTCTGTTTGTGGCATCTGTTGCATTCCAGCCTGCTTGTACCGCGGACGGGTAAAACTCGAGTGTGTGGTATCTCACCCTCGCTCTTTGCCTCCCGCCTACACCCCTCCTTTTCCTTCCCCATCTTCCCTCCTCACGCCCGATCCCCACTCTTTTCCTTCGAGTGCCATCCCTTCCCTCTCGGTCCTGATACTTCCAAGTGCTTCCATTCCATCAGCATTCACCTTTGCTTCTCTGCGTATCGAGTTGCCACCCCCACCCCCCACTACGACAAACTTGAGAGCACAATTGTCTCCTTTGCTGATACGCTGAATTCCAAATCAACCCTTCAAAATGTAAGCAGCAAAACAAGCTTCTTCGTTTATTATCTTCTTAACGAGCTCAAGTTCATTTCTCCATGCCAAACGCTGACGACAAAAATTCTAATCATCGCTTTCTTACGGTAGGCGTCTCACCGTATCGTTCATCTCAACCTCTCAAATCATACAGCTCGATGTTCCATCCGATATGTCAACTGTGGATTTTAAGGCGCTGATTGCTGCAGAGATCCCCGCTGTCTCTTCCGTGGCCCAGCATCTCTATCACAATGGTCGGCTCCTCGCTGACTCTGCCAAAACTCTTGGAGAATACGGGGTTGCCGAGGGGGATATGATAGTCTTGCATACGCGGGGTAGTAGCAGCAGCAGCGGTTCTCCCGGAGCCGCATCTGGTCAACAGCAGCAACAGGCTGGGGCAATAAGGCGTTCATCAGGAGGCCCTTCCCAAGGCGCGGGTAGAGGTGCTCCATACGGGCGGCGACCCGCAGCAGCGGGCCCGCCATCTGCTCCGGGAGGCCAATCCGGCATGGACTCCGAGATGATTCGTTTGCAGGTTCTAGGGGACCCGAGGTTGATGAATGAGCTCAGGAACTCCCAGCCGGAGCTGGCCGCGGCAGCCAATGACCCAGAGAAGTTCGGAGAGGTCTTCCAATTAATGGAGCGACAAAGGGCCGAAGCTGAGAAGCAGAAGCAACGGGAAATTGTAAATCAAACCTTACTGATATGGGTCGTGAAGATGAAGTCACTGACGCAGAACACCGTCTTACAGCAAATGTTGAACGACGATCCATTTAACATAGACGCACAGAGGAAGATCGAGGAACTAATTAGGCAAGAGGCTGTTATGGAGAATCTACAAAATGCACTAGAGCATAATCCTGAAGGTAGCAAGCATCCACAATATTATCTCACATGCAGCCCTACTGACGTAAGAACCTTTCCTCGCGTAGCTTTTGGTCGTGTAACAATGTTGTACATCCCGGTTGAAGTAAACGGGACCAAAGTGAAAGCATTCGTCGATTCTGGAGCGCAAGAAACGATCATGTCACCTTCGTGTGCCGAGACTTGCGGCATCATGCGACTGGTCGACTCTCGGTTTGCGGGTATTGCTAGGGGTGTTGGGACAGCTAAAATCTTGGGCCGTGTTCACTGGGCTCAGATCAAGATCGGGAGTCTGTTCCTGGTCTGTTCGTTCACAGTCATGGAAGGCAAGGGTGTGGGCTTGCTTTTAGGGCTTGATATGCTCAAGAGGCATCAAGCTGTTCTTGACTTTAAGAAGGGTTGCCTAGTTATTCAAGATGAAGAGGTTCAATTTCTGGGGGAAAGCGAGATTCCTAAGCACGACGACGACCGCGGATTGGAGGACGAGCCGACTGCTGAAGGTTCTGATGGATCGAAAGTTGGAGGTAGAACTGGAGCCTCAATCGAACCGTCTATCACGTCTACGTCGGCTGGATTTGGGCCTCCATCAGGAGATAGCAGCGGAGCAGCGCCCGAGCAACTGGAGTCTCAACACTCCGCAGAAGCCATAAGCCAGTTGGAGGGACTGGGGTTTTCTAGGAGCCAAGCCTTGGCAGCTTTGAATGCTACTGGCGGAGATATAGATATGGCAGCTAGTTTGCTCTTCCAATGATCTTGGGCTCCAAAACCTGGAGTAGCTTTAGCCTACTTGATAATGGCTTTCTTCCTATCTTCTATTTCCTTTCTGCTCGATTTATTATATTGTTTGGGGGAGTGGTGGTGGGTGTTCAATAGAGGATAATCCAGCGACTATTTGGGGGATCTTAATTGATGGAGTGATAGGGGTAGATCAGCTATATTTAATGCCCGAAACGACCGAAAAAGTTCCCTAGCCGCTTTCCAGCGGTTCGTGAAAAGTCATCCAAATTTTGCTGATCTTTAAGTCCCGTCCCTTTTCATTCCGTGATTTTGTCCCTTTTCGAGACGAGCTCGGATGTTTCCCCATATAATCCCTCGTTTTCCACACCACATCGCCGTATCCTTTACGCTGGAACCGACGTCGAAGCCATGATCGCGATCCGCCTCACAATTCAAATTCAATCCTTAGCACCAGGCGAGAAAAAGCCCAAGGCAACAACAACCAAAAAGAAAGGCACGTAGCCAATGCTTGTGCTTTTAAGATTGACCTTTTCTAAAAACATTACACCATCTGTTATCCATTTTTTTTTTTTTAAAAAAAAAAGAAAATCAAACTTCAGCAATTTCACGAAGACGACGGATTGTCGATCTGGTGGCTGCAGCGGCAGGTGTACTGTATCCCCAAACGGCCCCCCATTAGCATTATTCCTGGGGCGCAAGGAAAGTAAGGGAACGCACGAAACGACCCAAGCCCCACCAGCGACGGTCTTCTTACAAGACCGGCATTTCCAGATTCCGACAGATGTGCGCTTCACGGTGGTCTTTCCACAAAAAGTGCAGGTGTATCTGGCGTGTTGGGTGATTTCCATCTTCTTGACTTGTTTGCGGAGGGAGGCACCGTATCTGTTGCAGCATTAATACCCAATTCAAAACTCCTCTTCCCGTATTCTCGCCGCAGTAGTCGCTATAAGGTGCTTGAGCAATAGGAGATGGAAAGGATTATTTATTCACCTGACACCGTATTTGCCGGTCACTATAACCATCATTCATTAGCTTTTCTTTCTTTAACCCTCCAACAGCCAAAAAAAATCAAAAATACGAGAAACAACATACCGCCAACCTTCTTCGTGCGCTTGGTCATGTTGTCGAATTTCTGTTGATAGAGTTGCTCGGGTGGGTAGTGAAGGTATCCGCCGGTCAGTCGGTCGTCGTGTTACTGAAGTCGGAGCGGTGTTGGAGCCTTCGTGTAAATCGGCAGACCAAGGAAGTTTCCCTGTGTGTGCTTGTGTGCGTTAGAAGAGTGAGATTAGGGCTTTGTTTAGCCCTAGTGAGCAGTCATTGAGCAATTGGAGGTTTAAATTCTTATTCCGGAGGGCTTGGCTCTGTCTAGCTTGGCTGCAACAGGGCTAGAGATAATAGCATTGTCTCTCCAGTCGCGTCAATCAGAGCTTCAACATCAACCGCTGATACTTATAGTGCAAGGGGAACTTCCGAGGACTATTCACTCCACCCTACTTTACATACCTACAACTACTCCATATAACTACTTTCACAGTCAAATCATCACCATCATGGCAAACGGGTACCCTTCACCCCTTCCCGTTCGACCCTCGTCTACTAGAAATCAAAGCAAATACTAACACGACCCATAGCTGGAGCATATTCGTCGGCCTCTTCGTTGTTATCGCACTCTCCGCCGTGGTGTGGGTGTTTGCTCCTAGGGGCGAGAATCAAACGTGCCCTCTTCCCTCCCCCTTCTCCTCCCCTTCACCCCGGTGCCCTGGTTAACTCAGGAATCCAGCATCTGGCGGAGCTCACTGATCCTTACGTTCGCTGCTTGCTACATTATGTGGGGTATGTGCCATCTTCCCCTCCCCTTGTTAGGATAGTAGGAATTGATGCGTACAGCGATTACCTTTATGGCACAATTACATCCCCTGGTCATGCCTAGGAGATCGGATTTGAGGCCGGAAGCGCACTCGGACCCGAGGTTTTTTTAAGGGCGGGTGAGAGCTGGGTAGATGTACGATAGAGGGATACACATGGCCCATGCAGGGGTGAGGGTATGATACATTTATGTGGTAGTGATGGGGGCAGGGGGTGGGGTGGAAAGGGATGGGTGCCGTGCCTTTAATGGGAATTTGATTGCTTTTGGGGGTTATTTTACTTTTCCGCCATTTGTGCGGGCCGACGGTGGAAAGTCCGTGGCGTAAGAGAGTGCTGTGGGAGAAGTAATTTTCGGAGCAAGGAGTTGTGATCAGATTCGCGGCCCGGCCCTGGAAGCTGAGGGGGCTTTGGGCGGTTCGGTGGACTTCCGGGTGGTAAGTTGTGTGACGCCGGGCATTCTCTGATGGTATCGATCTTACGCTACATGCCGGGTCGGCATCACATTGCCGCAACGGTAGCGTTTGTGTTTCTGTGTACCCGAGAGACATACCGGCCCGGACTTACTGTTCCTCCGCTTTAGGAGCAGTAACCTCTCTGTGCTGTGTCTGCCAAACACTTGATCCGGAGTATACAAACAATAGCAAACACTATGCATTTCTTCGAGGAGAATAAGGATATCTCATATCATGCCATCTCTCTAGCATGCATCACTCCTAGCCCGACAGGAGAATCCTGCGTGTCACTTCCGTCAGTCCCCATACAGCACCGTGTATGTTTCCCAAACCAAGAGGAGTTTACAGGTCCCCCCATACCAGCCCCGCATCATAGAATCTGACTGCACTAGTACTCGGGAGGATTCGATAGTACTTGAGCACAATTCTTCCGGGTTTCTGTGGAATATCTCGTGCATCCAGCGACACTGCATCGCCAGTCAAACGAAGGACCCATTCCTCCGTGAAGGCCTGGGAATGCCCATCCCCCAAATTCCGCGGCCGACCAAAACCCGCGTACTCACCGAAGCAATCGAACCCCGAAGCCACAAACAGTAAGCTAAACAGCCTCCTAACATCTCCCAATCGTAGTCGGTAGCTTCCCCATCGACAGATATATACCCCTCTGGAAGAGCGAGTGATTCACGGGCAAGGAGACTACTATCAAGTATCCCCCTGCGCCCCCCGTCCCCGTGACGCGGCACAAGTATCGAGGATGAAATTGCTCGTGGCGGTGGTATCGGCCACGGCAAGACGATTTTCGCTTCAGGGGGGAACTCGATTGGCATCATTAGCACGCTAGCTATGGAGCAGTACTGTGTTAGTTAAACTACGAGTGATCTGGTAAGGTGGGGTAGTTAAAACCATTTACATGTCATGAGTTTTCTCCAAACCGCAAGTCACTTGCTCACTTCGCATAACACTCGAAACATGGTTTGACAAATCCGTGATTCGATTATACTTGTAGCGAACAGGCCTTTAAGCCCACAGAAACCTCTTACTAACACACCCTCAAAACAGGGAACCCCTCCATATATTTTGTAGTCCCACAAACAATGTTCGATACCCGAACATTCAGCTTTTTATGTATGGATGGTGCGGTGCGCTGCTCATTCTCCTCGCCGGTCTTGTCTATGTCGGAACCTCCGAGGTTGATGTCATCCTTGCATTACTGAACCGGTAAGGGTCAAGACGGACTTTTGATTTTGGTAAGCACAGTACGGTACCGCAACTTCTTTTTTATTTACCCTCTGGAACTCCATTCTATTCCTAACAGGCTAGGTATATATATAAGGAAAAGAAAGGAAAAAGAAACCCAGAAACAGCCGGAAAAACATGGTTGGGGGGGGCTCCAAGTCACTTCTGCAGCTTCTTCTGGGGGGCCTCCGGTTGCTCGCGGGAGGGGGTTCCTTCCTCGCTGGCGAAGAAGGCGGGAAAGCGGAGTTGGATGTAATCCTTTAAGCTCTATATGACCAACTATACCTATTAGATTAACCAGATACAGGAGCTGAATGAGAAACTAACCGACGAAGTTCCGAAGAACAGGAAGTGGAGTTGCCATTTCATTACTTTCTGGTCAGACTTAAGCTCGCTGAACTCCTTGTAGACCGCGGCATTTCTATCGGTGATCGATTTCCTGAGCTCATTGCCGAGTTCGGCGATGGATTTGATTACATCGACTTTGAAGGTGCCGTGGTCCTGCCATCATCGTCTTGGTTAATTGTCACTATGTATTTGGAAACGAAATCCGTACCTTGATAGAACCATCAATTTTGTCATCGAGTCTATTAATTCGGTCCTACTATACCATAGTTTGTAAGCTGAAGTTTAAATAATCAGTTTGAGGTATAGGGACTTACAAAAACACCGGACTGGCCACCGTGACCATTGTTTCCGGTGCCATCGTTTCCGGTGCCGTCGGGGATGAATTGATCGTGAAACCCCCTGAGCCTGATACGTCGATGGATGAGGGCAGGAGAAAGGATTTTTGTTTGGCGTGAGAGTCGGAACATAGTGTTTGATGATTGTTGTGAGTGGACTCGGATGGTTGGGTGGAAGATGGTTGACCTCGAAACCCAGGCTCTTAAAAGCTCAGTGGGTGTTACCAATCACTGCCAAGCCTACGGTGCAAAGTGTCTAAAAGCGGGTCCTCCGGTGGAACGGGGAATTCCGTTTCAACCGATTGGAGTTGAGCCCCGAGTTGCCAAGCCAACCTGAGTCGGGTGAAATGATACACCTACAGACACGGAACGTCTGGTCACGGAGCCAAACCCGGCTCCAAGAGTCTGTTCACGGCTTCAAGACGCTGCTTTGGGGCTGCCCGGAGCACCATCCAAGACCACTACGAGTGATAATATACAAGCTCCCCACTGGAGCGCGGAACATGCCGTTTCCAGCGCGAAGCTGGCAAGAACTATGATAGCCTATCACATTGCGACAGCAGGGGAGTCTGCGGAAACCCACCATCAACCAGGAAGGTATCATACCCCTATTCCTTTCCTCGCTGCATACAGACCGAGGTGTCATACCACGGTGCTGGTGTCATGCATGGTAATCAAGGGCCAAGTACGGTACAGTACGACACTCCCAAAGAGTAGGATCTCTCTGGAAAAAGGCTGGGTTGATGAGGGTCATGGGCGGCTGGAGTGTGTATTCGTTGATGGGTCGTGGATTTATTTTTCTTTTCTGAAGGAACAAGAAAATGGACTCGTGGGTAACTTGAGAGGCACCCAGATCCGTACGTAGCAACTCCCCCTTATATCCTCTTCTTTTCTTTGAGAGTAAGGCGGGTGAACATAGTACTGAAATAGATGCTCCACCAGGTGGACCGTCAGGGGGGGGATATCTGAACCGAGTGAGAATCCATGCATCCAGTGATTTATTTGGTTTATGATATCTAAAGTCTCGTTGGGTTCTCCGGGACTCGAATTTACTATGGGACACTTCTCTTTATTGTTGACTTTTTTTTTTACCCTAAGTCTCGGGGTTAATGTGGGAACCCTTGTGGTTGTCACTTCGGGGGGGGGGCAATTTGTAGGGCTTGATGGTGTCACTCATGGTCCGCGTGCACCACTCTTGACGTTTAAACCAAACATAGATTCCTAACTCAATTGGGACATCCAAAACTCAGCTAACCTCCCACCCTCAGAGTAAACCAAACATCTCAATCCCCCCTCGCCAGTCCATATGCAAAACTGGGCTAACGTAGTGTGGGTCTAGCAAAGCTCCCACTCATCCCCAGCATCAGGTGCATTCGTAGCGAACTGGGTCCCAGTGACAAACCCCTCCTCAGTAGACCACGTGACCCCAATACCATCGAATAGTTCCGAAAACCGCCAAGTCTCCTTAACCAATCCAACACTCAACTTCTGGCCCTCCGCACCCTTGGCCACATAATACCCGGCAGTGTCGCCAAGGCCGTCAACAGGCTCAATGGTAACTTTATCATTCCTGATAAGCACCCTCTCCTTGTCGTAGTCCACATCCTTGATGCGGAACTTGGTCCTGCGGGTGGTGGAAACAACGATCCTGCCGCTATCACGATACCAGTACAGGTCAGGCTGGCGACGGTTGCGGATATAAAAGTTCTTGCTGGAGATCCAGTCGGGGCCAATAGTGGGGTTGGAAAAGACAGGCCAGTTGCGGCCCGAGTCGGCGTCACCGAGGATGACGGACATGAGCTTGTAGTTGAATTCCGGGAGGGCGTTTTCGCGCTGAACGTAGATGATGGTCCACCACGGGTCCCCGTCGATCGTGTCGTAGTACCATAGTTGCGGGTTGACGCGCTGTAGCTTGCTATAGCGGTTGGCGCCGGCGGCGTTCTTGAGGGTTTGAAGGCCGCGGAAGAGCTCGTCGGCTGCCCAGCGGGACTCGAAGGTCAGGAGGTGACGGCCCCAGTCGGCACGTTTGGTGTCGGTTTCGCGGGCATATTTTATGTAGACATAGAAGATTCCTGACATTTTTGTCTTCGTTGGCTAGAGATATGGGTATGCGTACTCGTTGCGATATGATCGGATATTGGGGTTGAGCTTGAGATTGCTGCTGGGGAGGGATCTGATGTGACGGGGGGAGGAGGATTTATATAGACATCGTTTTCAGTGCAATAACTGCTCTCCGAGCAATGGAATTGCCAGCTGTAACCCGCAATCGCAATTACTCAATGGAACTGCTCCTCAAAATCCTTAAACTCACCTGAAAGCCCCCACGTCAGGACACCATGCGCAGGGAACCGAGTCGGCGAAATGCCCCGCGCGCGTATGCACCACTCCACATCCCACCTCCTCTCTTGATATTTCTAACATCCATCCTACACCCCTCCCCCCCAAACAAAATACCTGCCGGAATGGCAACCGAGCGTTCAGAGCCAATAGAGTACGACAAGAAGAAGCGGGATCCTCCCCTAATCTCCGGGATTGGAGAGGGTGTTTGTGCGGGTTAAAGAGCAATGCGCCAAACCAAGCTGAAGATCTGAATAACTGCCAGACACCTAGCTGAAGCACTGCAGCGCAGAGAGAGAGGATGTTATCTACCGGAAGTCGCGATCAAGAGTGGAGGGAAAGTGTGCTCGGGTTGACTGCAGAACATACCCTTTTGGGGAGGAATAAGGCCTTGTCGTGCGGTAGTGATACTATTGGATTGGCGCAGCATAGCAAAGAAACTCGAGAATCTACCGATACTGCACAAGTGCCCGGGGAAATACTTTTGCATTGTACGAGTCAGGGATGGTTAGCCATCAAAATATAACACCTGTCTTGTACGAAAACATCTCCCCTTGACACTCGTGCTCGGGGGTGGCCAAAACTCGGGCGCACTACCTGTGGCCATTGTTTAGGATTTATCTGGCATAGAAGGTTAGGATATGTCGGTGTTGCGATGCCCTCATGGGGGTGGGGTACGGTGGAAGTGGGCTAGCGGTGGCAGTTGTGATAGGGAGTCACGTGGGCGATTTTGGTAACGAAAAGGGCTACCAGTTACCCGGATCGAAAGGCAGGTTGAAGGGCTGCCAAGGCTAGGGATGGCGGGCCCGACTTATCCTTCAGTTACACCCAAATGCCTGCTTACCTTAAATCCCTTCCTTATCGATACACCGCAGACTATCAACAAGGATAACCCCCAGAGCAGCCTTGCTGACCGCCAGCAACCCGCCCCTCCCACCAACCCCAACACGGGGAGGTCCCTTGAAAGAAGTCATACTAACCCCAACATGCAGCAGGATCCTTGCTGCGATGTCTACTCGAGTACAAGTAGTTCGGAATATTCGTACAGTGCACAACCTGCGGGAAGACCTTATTCGAGTCTATATATGTTGTGCAGAAGTATCGGGCAGAGGGGCCATCAGAATGTCGCTCCCACGTGGAGTCCAGCTAGAGGAAGTCTTATGCCGCAACGGGACAAAACATCCTCCAGGACCATATACTCGTACTCGAGCAGAGATCGAGAATGGCAGAGTAACCACACAACTGCAGAAAACCCTGGGGGAGCGTATCCTTTCCTACCTTAGTCTTCTAGCCGCACGGCACATAAATCATCCCGGACTGTTTACACCTCCCAGGCGGCCTACACACTGCCAGTACAGCGGCACCTCCAGGGTCCGCATCATAAACTGGGATTCGTCGCACGGCATTAGCTAGCGAGAAACCAGCAGACGCTTTTACGTTAAAACCAGGGACCGAAGTGAAAACCTACGATTGCGTCGAATTGAGAGCCTAGAAAGGGTTGGCCCTGGCTATGGAGAGCGTTAGGATATGGCGTTTTATTGCGATTTTGAGAAAAAAGCAAGGATAAAAATCCCATTTGAACGCACCAGCGCCCACCGGTTCTCGCCGATCACTTGTAATGCGGTATTTTGGGGTTAGCTAATATTCGGTAATCGACGATTCAGGAGCGGCGCAGGGTAGGTGCGATAGCCGAATAAGCCTGTCAAGCCCATATGCCTAGACGGTATGATACTTGCAGGTCGTTGGTCACCAGCTGTCATCGGACCCCGCGACCGATAGCAGAGGGTGAGTGCATTATCACATGTAGTTGGGCATGCGGATCATAGTAAGCTACAGCAGTCCAGCCGGATGAAAGCTATAAGTCAATGTATTATCACGGTGGATATGGGAGCACTGTAAGTCAGCAATTCCGATCCCTCCATTGGAGAGTGCTCGGACCATTCTCTCCCGCGCACCAGCTTGGAATCAGGTGCAGAGTTCAGCTCTCACACCACGTGGATTGGGGCACAAAGAGTAGAGATTGAGAAGGTAAAGGATAAAAATGAAGAGATGTTATTGTGGTATCGGTAATACGGGAGAGATTCTGATGCTGGTGAGCTTAGGTGTTGCAGTTGCGGTGGAAGAGTGGGGGGAAGCAAACTCGGGAGGACTTGACGAGATTATGGGCAATGAGGCTAGCCATGATGGGAATGTTGCTATTCTTTCCAGCATGGCATCCCCGCGGCTACGGTTCACTACCCAAATCATTTGATATCACCCGTCCACAGCTGGGGTTTGAACAGAGCGTTCACACGGCGTATCACATGGAGCCGTGATTCCCAGTTCTGAAGTAGAACTATACAGCCTATGCTCTGGGGGAGAGAAGTGACCATGAAACCACAAATATTATTCATAGCATTCCTCTGTTCCCGACCATACCGGTATGGCCCTTGCGGTGAAAGTGCCGGCTTTTCCCCACATATGATAATCCCGCTGGGACAACATCCGTCCGGGGGACAACCCCACCCGCGATGGTGCTGCTATTACCAGAATTGGCTGACCGCTGACCCTGCCAACTGGTACCCACCAAAATGTAGGGAAAGTTGGCCACTAGCAAAAAGGATAAATATAGGTCCATAATCCGGGTGCCCATTCAGAATCAAGTTTTACAGAGTTGTGAGTTATCATCTTCCCGTATGATGGATGATACACATGGGCGAACAACTACTCACATCCTCCATATCCTCCACGCAGTTCCCCGATATCTTCAGTATCCCCTCCGAGCGTGGTATCCTGCCGTTTGCTGGCAGAAGCTAATATTGGCAATTCAAAACAAGAATACGGCGCATGTATCATGATTGCAGTATATATAAAAATGGGTTCGAGGGCTGTATCACTCCCTTGTAGAATCCGTTTTGTCCCAAGTCCGACAAGGTCGGGTCAGGAAAGTGGACAGCAGAGATTCCAAGACTTCGATGCTGTGCTAGCCCCGGCAACGCAAGTTCCCAAACACGTCCGACAATCTTACTTTGTCGAAACAGCGGTATAGGTCTCGCACCACCCGGTTCCTAGCCGGAGAAGGGATACGTGAACTCCCCCCGGGCTCCCCCATCCACTATCGCTTAATCCGTGACGACGTGCGTATAGCTGGCGTGAAGCAGAAACCGGGACTCCCCAACTCTATGCCCGATAATCTCTCATCACGGGAAATCACTCGTGTTATTAGCCATTGCCCTATTGATCCTATCTGTGCCAACACCTTGTGTAAAAAGGCTGTCCTCTCTTTCTTACAATAATCACTACCAGCTACTGAAGGCGGGGGGGCGAGGAGTATCATACGTAGAAGGCTTAGAAAAAGGTAGGGGCAAGGGGTCTGGCTAAAGGAGGGGAGGGGGAGGCTACAGAAGCATCGGGGTTGGTGACAGAACGAGTGCGGTGCTTACAGAGTGCAAGGAGAACTCGACATTAGGGCCCAGAGAGGAGTAGATTGCTGCTCTGCGAGAAAGATATTGTGGTGCAAGATATCATACCGTTTGTCAGCACCGCGATTTAAGTGCTGCCGCAATTCACCCACTTGTACGAGTGCTGTCTTATACGCCACTAGTTGTTTATGGTACTGTAATGCACATACTGCACTCGTACATTAGCTGTTGTGCGAAACGAATCGGTCAACTTAAGGCTCGGTATGCTCCGGGGGAGGGTTTGCGAAACTATTCTACAAGGCTTAGAGAAACAAGCGAATAGTTGCTAGTTCTGTGTCGGCAAGAAATTTTACGCCTTATGCCCTCAACCTCCACTATCGCCATGCTCCGCCACTCCTCAGAATCACAAAATTGACATGCGCAGCCACAAAGCCCCGTCTCCATTCGAACTTAATAATACATAATACGCCGAAGGTCTAGCAAGGCGACATCACGAAACTCTAATATCGAGAAGAGGAAAATATAATTTAAAAAAGGAAGAAAGGAAAAAAAGGAAAAAAAGGAAAAAGGAAAAAAATCAAAAAAATCCCCCTAGTATCATAGCAAGGGCTGGAAACATGGAATTTATGACATCACCTTTCTATCCAACCTACTTTGTGCGATGTATGAACGGGTGCTTGAGTGCTTCGACAGGAGTGCAACGTCGCTCAGGATTAAGGTTTAGGCACCGGTCCAACAAATCAATGAATCCATTCAATTCTTTCAACTCCGTATCCGTCATTCCAGGCGATGCTGCAGCTAGGAGCCTTGTTTTCAGTTCCCTGATAGGCTTGTTGAAGGCAAGCGTCTTGGTGATATCCTATACGGGCAGAAATTTTAGTAGGGCTTGGGAGGAGATATCAAATGAGTTGCCATTTACCTTTCCCGTGATCTTATCATTCTCCACACTCCTGAAATTAAGCATATCATCAAAGTGCAAACCTGTGAATTTTCCCTTACGAAGCACCTTTTGTGGGAATTTTCCACGGCACTCCATGATCGAACGCAGCATCTGGTTATTGGTGCGGCCAGTGAATAAAATCTTTCCAGTGTATAGTTCGTAGAGAGTGCACCCAATGGACCACATGTCGATAGCAAAGTCATAGGGAATACCTAGAACTATAGAAAGTATCAGCATCGAGGAAATTTAATGAGGACAAAAATTACTTACTAATTTCGGGTGCTCTGTAGAACCTACTCACGAGGTAAGGAGTAATCTCGTTTTCAGAAGCATCGGATGCAGAACCAAGATCGCAAATCTTGAGCATATTGCAGTTTTCATTTGCCTAGCACCAAGAATTAGCACGGCAATAACGTGGACACCCCGCGCTGGACCCCACCAAAACATTGTCCGGCTTCAGGTCTGCATGCAATATATTGCACTTCCGCAAGAGCGATAAACCGAGAAACAATTGCTGAGCATATGAACGAACTGCCATTAGACTAATACCCTCACTTCGTCCGTATCTCTTGAGCACTTCACGTAGATTAATGCTAAATCAAGTTAGTAAGGAATAGGAAATCGGGGCACAATTGGAAATACCTTAAGTTTTCAAAAACGATACAGAGATGGCCCTTGTGCTCAAAGCATCTCTCTAACCTAACCAAATGTTTTTTATCATCTGGATCTGCTTCGATCAATTTCCTCAATATATCAATTTCCTTCAACCCAGCCTTTTTCCTGCGATGCTATTAGCGCTATAAATAAAACAACTAAAATAAAAACATAAAAAACGTACATCGTCTCATTATTTCTAATGATCTTGATAGCAACCAGCTTCTGAGTTGTCAAATCCAGGGCTCGTACTACACCTGAGAACATTCCTCTGCCAAGATTTGTCTGTACCCGGTAGCGGCCATCAAGGAGCTCAGCAGGTATAACGCGGTAATACCCATCGGGATCGTCCCAGTTATCTAAGAGGCTAGCATCCAGTTGCTTCGCGTCAGAAACAATGGGGTGAGTCTTGTCAGTCTGACTTTCAACCTTCTTTGCTTTTGGCATCGGCCCCGCAAACATATCATCGTCGTCACCTTCGGCAAACATGTCAAAATCATCATCATCCTCCTTCTTTGTAGGCTCCTGCTGCGGTTCTTGCTTTGGTAAACTTGCCGGTGTCTGCCCATCCCTCACAACGACTTTGGTCACATCGTATGCACTAGAGGGCGCCTCATGATCGTGAATACGCTGCTCGTACCGTTTGTTATCCTCCTGCATATCAACCGTTGGGTCGTAATCTGCTGCCGAGGGCCCCTCATCCTCAGCAATTGCCATCGCCGTAGAACCTGCATTGATTATAGTTGCACCATTCTTTGATATGTTGAAGGTACCAGCCGGAGAGTCTTCACGCGAAGAATCAGGAGGCGCAGGGGATGCTACAGCTAGAAAGAGGTTAAGCAATCAATAGAGCTAAGAGATGGGGTGTCAGAGCCAACCTGGAGTAGCCTCCCCCTCTGACATTCCTGGTGAGTTCGGGTTTGATCCAGCGATCGCTAGCGCCGATACAAGAAGTGGTGTAGCTTGCCCCTTATACTTAGCCTTGATTGCCTCCCTCTTCTTACGCCGCTCTTCAATAAGCTTAGCCTCATCAACTGGCTCCTCAATCTCCATTTCTTCCGGCGGTGGTTTAAGCGGAGCCTTCTCGGTGGGCGGGTTTCTATCATCCCCCAAGATTTCAGCTTTGGGAGAAAACCCAATGCTCTTGGAGGTTTGAGCGGACCTTCCGCTATCCCCATTCTGAGAGGTACGGTAACTAAAGGACTGTTTATTCCCACTCCCCTGATCTGACTGTTTGTTGTAGCATTCAGTATCTCGTTTTGATAATTCAGACGGAACTGGGATATCTCCTTGTTCGCTCACTGATTGCTCCTGGGAGCGTCTGCGGCTGTCGTTTCTACCCCTGTCCCGTTCCCTCTCTCTGTCAACGAACCTGTTACCACCATCACGTCTGCTATCGTCAAAATATCCACGCCTACCGCCTTTCCCATCTCCTCTAGGCCCCCGTGGGGGCGAACGACTGCGCGTACGAGATCGCTTAGTATCATGGTAGTACCTGTCCTCATGGTCGAAAGGTTTGGGAGGATCTCTAGGCTCGGAGCGGTCGATATCGGCATACGAAACCCTAGGGCGCCTCCCGATATTGACGTCACCATTTGCTTCGTAGTGGACCCTGTGCTGTCGGGGATCGGGGCCCCGTTCGTGGCTTCGTCGTCTTTTCTCACCACGCATGTTTTCCCCGTTCCCAGGTCGACGGATGTGGTCTCTAGGGTCAAAGTGATCATGGCGAAATGGAGGGTAGGTGTCACCGTTACCGCCGCGGTAATTGTTGATGGCGGGAGATCTCGAGCCTCTGTTTCTACTTGAAAGACGGTCAACCCTGGGGCCAGTAACGGAAGGCAGCGATGGAGGTGCCTTCTCTACTTCTGTTTCGAAAATTTCACCCTCCTCGTCAAATGACTCGCTTGGTGAATTCATGGTGCACAAACGTCTATCTTCTAAGTATCTCTGTAGACACGAATTTCTTTCGTTGAAGAAAGTATTAGCCTCGCGTTTCTTTGGAGAGTGAGGCGTTTGTTTGGTAGAAGTCCAACCGGGATTCAGTTCCGTAGTACAGCTTTAGCTGATTGTCCGGTCGATTGAGCGTAGAAGTAATCGAGGGAAAGTGGGCGGGTAGAGAGCATATATAGACGCTCTCTATATGAACGACAGGGAGCAAAGCGTATGAACTAGAAAGGGGTGGGAGTTTAAAGGTTGTGCTAGCAAGACACAGGGGGGGAGGTTGAAGAGGAAGGAGAGGAAGGAGAGGAAGAGAAGCAAAGAGGAGGAGAGGTGAGGATGATGAAAGTAAGGATAAGCGTCGTGGAGAAGATCGTGTGGGGTTAGGGTTGTCCAACTTAGTTGTTTGGTTCGTGATGAACCTTGAGCTGTACGCGTAAAGTCTGTCACTAACAGAAGAGCGACCCAAGTTCCTCCGGACCACCATTTCAATTGCGTGGTACCTGTAAAATAGTCTACCGATACTACAATAAGAAACACACACAATCACGCCATGAACCTGGCATCTCAGGATATCATTAATGGTAAATAAATTGATTTTCAATGAGATTCACCGAAATATCCCTTGCACTGCAGTACCGGTACTAGTACCGCACTGTACTAGTACATACTCGTACCAGTACGAGTACCGTACTCGAGTGACAATCACGAAATGCTTATTCCTTGATTGCGGGAGTGTGCATCACCTAAAAATACCGGTACGTGATCTGATAATCTAACTTTGTCACAGCATTATCTTATCGCAATCTTTCTCATCTATCTTGGCGAAACAGCCTTATCTAAAATTTATCACTTGTCGCTACAAAAATTTCTGGTATGATAATATTATTATGATACATATGATATCACGTTCCATCATCCATAACTCACTGCGAATTCCCCATACCGAACGAGATGCCCTCCCTTCCGCCTGCGTCACCCGTAAAAGGCCACACTAGGGCTTCATCAACTGATGAACGACGAGGTCAGTATGATACTCGACTTCCTCTCCAACCGTAGCTCCTAATCCCCGTAGTTTCTGTCCCCCGTCGACGAACAAAAGGCCCCTTAGACCTCGGAGAGTAAGCTATCCGCCCGCCCCTCACCAAGCAAGGCAAATAGAGCTTCCCCTGCTCTTTACTATTTGGCAGGAGAGCTAATAGATACCCTCTCAGCCCCCCATTCAAGGACCACCCGGCCCCCACTTCCGTCGCAGCAACCACAACCTCCCCACCCTCCTCTCCGACGACTCCCAAACAACGAATGTCCGCCGGCCTCTTTGACATGCACCCGCCCGCTATATCACGGGACTTTACCTACCTCCTCCACCCCCAGAACTTCCACCCGCTTCCTCAGCACACCATCCCCGCCGCCTTCCGCGCACCAGCCCACCAGCCCACAGCATCCACCCCCCTCCACACGCTCCTGTCAACGGGACACTTTCGTGCGGCAGCCATAACTGCCGCTAACCGGCTCACAAATTCCACCTCCCCGACTCCGCTTACCATAGAGGAGATATTCAAGCTCTGGTACATCCGACTGAGCAGTCTCATGCTCATTGGGAGCACCTCCACCGCAGCACAGGAAATAAAAGTGTTCTCAGACCTGGGTTCCAACTTCTACCGGGATGCACGGGGTGGGCACTTGGTCCCCTGGGAGCTCCGCGTTCTTGCAGTCCGCTTGCAGGCCATCGGGGTAAGCGACTGGCGTCGGAGCATAGCGCTTTATTATGAGCTAGCCCGTGAGGCCCGCGGCGAGGTACTGAAGCGCGAGGCGAAACCCGACTCCCCGGAACACAATGCCGAAGGGGCCTCCCTCTGGAGGGGTCGTCTCTGCGACTTGGGAATTCGTGTCGCCAGCGCGCTGGTGGAAATGGGTGACTTGGCGGCTGCCTCTCGACATCTGGAAGGACTTCGAGCGAGTGTCGATGACCACGAACTCAAAGTAGTATTATGTCTACTGTATGTGCGCATCGGGAACCTGGCGGCTGCAAAGAAGGTTCTCCCGGCGGTGGGCGGGGAGGATATACGCGAGGGGGTTCTCTGCGCGTTGATACTCATGGGCGAGGCGAAGTGGGCGGAGGCTGCCGCTGCGTGGAAGGAGATTTCCGATACGAAGAGAATCGAGGAGGGCGGGGACATGGCGAGTAATAATTTGGCAGTCTGTTTACTGTATATGGGGGATCTGAAGGAGGTGGCCGTTTCCCTTCTTGACAATTCACCATCTCGTGCTGATGGGATACTTATAGGCCCGAAGAGTCCTCGAGTCCCTAATCGATGGCGGAACCTCTTTCACTGGTCTAACCTTCAACCTCTCAACAATCTACGAACTCTGTAGCGACAATTCAAAAGTACTAAAAGCAGGTCTAGCAGAGAGGGTAGCAGCCCAAGGAAAAGAAATGACGGGTTCTAGTTTCAAAATGTAAACGGTAACAGTTGATTACAGTCACGCGCATTGCTATTCTAGAATACCCGGCACCATGGGGGAAAACTACATTTATTTTATTGTCGCATCATCGGACACAGTGACCGTTTATCTTAATTGTTACATACAAGGAATGGTGAACGGGCTGCATTTTCAGAAGTCAAGCTTCTCGCTTTCGCACAGGTCATAAGTTACATGATATCCTCGGTAGGGAAGTCATTCAAGACATGTTTTATATGAAATCATGAACAAGGACAAAGGAACGACGTAAGGAAATCGAGATGTAGTGGTATTTGAACTAAGAAAAAAGATGGAGAAAATAGGAAAGTGCGGGAGAAGGAATAGCCAAGGAATCACACCGCTAAGTGCCCAAACGCTGAAGTGGAAGGAGGGAGAGAGGAAAAGAGACCAAACGAGCGCTCTGTTGGTGGTGTAAGAAAAAGGAGATCGTACGTACTTTTTGGTTGGTTTTAACCTCACTTGGTAACAAACGCTGTGGGAATGAGAATACATTCCACAAAAGGCAGCAAATCCCGGAGCCGACGAGCCAAGCTAGCAGTTTTGAAGATAGTTGCTAGGGACTAGACCAGGTCTTCCCTGAATGCCTACTATCTCTGCCTCCCACCATCCGTCATCCTGCTGTCTCAAAACTGCGACGATATCTCCCTTGGCAAAGCTAAGTTCTTCCGGGATAGCTGCCTGGTAAACATACATGGCTCTCGCTGTTTTTCAATATGGGGTCAGCCCTTTCTGTTATGTAAATTATAATGATGCGCGGGTCATTGCGTAACTTACCATAATGTAGGATTGGTCTGCCATCGCGGCTGTATTGCCTACTGGTGTCGGCAACACTCTTGCTCCTAGGACGGGTAATTTGTCCTCCTCCTCCTTGATAGGTTGCGACTACACCCACCTGGCTGCCATTGTCGCCATTGTAATAGCTATGCCTGGAGCTCTGGCCATCATAACTGCCCCGAACACTACCCGCCTGACTTCTGCCTCTGGATCCATAGCTGTCATGTCTGCTATGGTGACTGGGCGCAGGAGAATGGGATCTATAATTATTCAAAGCAACCTCTTGCCCGGATGGCAGTGGTGAAGGAGAACGCTGTGAATAAGCTGTGTACTGGCCCCTATTTGTGTTGGAGATGTCGGGACGGGATTGTGTGTAAGGATTGGGGGACGCCGAACGATTATATGTAATTGGCTGAGGGGAGCTGCTGCGATGCCTATCATCACCATAAAGCTGTGGGCGGGGGCTAACACTTCTGTTAGGAATTGGGCTGGCCGCTCTGTGGTCTTGCTGGTTATTGGATACCTCGCGAGAGCTTTGTCTAGATTGTGCGCGTAGATTTTCCATTGTTCTGGCTCTTTGTCGCCCAGACCCGGTCCTACTTGGCGCTTCTTCCATAGCCACAGGCATCTGGGGGCCGTCGAGCATATGGTCCCGTTGGTTAATGTATCTTTGGGTAGTTTCCTGCATCTGTTGAGATGTGAAGGCGGGTGGCGGGAGACCTAGAGCGCTAGTCTTGGGGGCGTAATTTGGTGGCGGGGTCCCTCGCTGCGCTGCGTTTATAGCCGAGTTCGGTCCAGGAGCCGGTGTCGCCGAAGGGGCAGGTGTTGCTAACCCAAAGAACCGATCTGCAGTATTCCTTGGTGGGGCGGACCCTTTTGTCACGCCCTTGAGCTCCGCTAGCGCCTGAGCTATAGGATCCAAAGCCAACTCATCCTCCTCCGGAGCTTTCCTAGGTAGACCCCCTTTGTCATTCTCCGGCGCTGCTACGTCAAATACATTCCCACCGACATTAAGTGCAAGACTAGCCCTTGGGTCTATTGGTTCGGGGCTATCGTGTTCACCATCAAGCCTTTGCTGCGTTTGACGCTGCCGTCTATTTGCGGAGCCACTCTCGTATCCTTGCTGATGCCTGGAACTCGTTGAAGGCGAGTTGCTCTGTGGGGCTGGGGACCAAGTGCTGCGATTTCTCAACGACGGCGGGGGCCTAACAGGTGATTCTGGTTGTTGTTGAGCCTCCATACGACGCTGTTCTTGAAGCGCCATATGCTGTTGTTGCTGCTGCTGTTGCAGCTGGAGTTGATGCCGCTGCTCTTTCTCGCTCTTGCTCTTCCTTCTGAATGGCCCTCCATTGCTGAAAAAACCGCTCTTCCGTTTCCCGACAAGTTTCTCCTCTTCTCTATGTACTGGCTGCTGTTTCACTGGAGACCGTTGACCCCCGCCCCTGGCAACTAATGGGGCCTCACTCCCACTGGAAATGGAGGTTGGATTAGAGCAATCACTTCCGGAAGCATGGCTGCTGGGAGGGCGCGCGATAGGGCTGCCGCCCGAACCACTATCAGAAATCATATTTCCAGGACGACAATACATAGTCATCCCATCAAGAGGATATTCATTGTGAGGCGCGTTCTGAGCGGCTTGCCTTTCCCTCTCATATCTCTGTGACCTTGATGGTGTTGAAGTGCTGCTGCATTGCTGGTACTGGCTATCGCGGCGAGACCTTGAGCCAGGAGTAATATTACCCGCAATTTCTCGGTTGGCGGGGGGAGTCTGTGGTTCCTTGTTTCTCAAGTGATCACGACCAGAGCGGCGGTCGTGTCCGCGACGCCCGTGATCACGACTCACTTGATCCTGCGACTCATACTCAACTCTTTCCGGTTCACGACGTGCACTATCACGAGATCCAGTGTTTGGAGCTTGCTCTGGTTCTTGTTCAGCCTGAGATGAGGAGCTTGTAGAGGGGTTTGGTGAAGCAGATCTAAATGTTGGGTTTCCTGTGCGGGGGAATTGTGCTACACTATAATTTTCTTCCTGGGTCTCCGAGGCTCCGTCATCCGATAAGTCCCCTCGACAAAAATTGATATATTTGGGTGCATCTAAGAAAAGGTCAATGATATAACAGCGTGGAACGAAATAGCAGCAGCTACCTGGGATGTCTTGGCCTGTCCCACGATCCAGTATAAATGATGTAATATCCTTCTCCACTTCGCAATCTTCCAAGGACACTCGAACCTTCTCGCAAGACTTTTCGGAGGTTAGGCCTGCGCAATACAAAAGCCATATATTCCACTCACCTGGTCATCGTCAACACAGACAGTGGAGGCAAGGTTGGCAAAAGCCCATAGACTAGCCTTTAAAAAGTCGATTCTTTCTTCCTCCAAATCTTGAAATTTCTGTGAAAGGTGTCAGCAAGATCATTACCCACCCACGGGAAGGTTGACTGAGCGTACGTCGCAAGCTTGTTTCCACTCTTTATTCCACCTAGCAGTGGTGTCTTCCAATGCCTTGATCGCCTCCTGATACTCGGCATTTGAGGTGACCAAGGCGGCCTGTGTTTTCTCTAGCCTAGCCTTATTCTTACGTTCTTCCTGTCCCATCACCATATGCCCCTGAGCAAGATAGCCCTTAATTTTCAAGCAATCTTGTTCGTAGCGATCTCGAGTCTAATATGCGCCCCCAGCCTCATTAGTACCATGCCCCTTTCCTTCATGGCACTAAGGCGGAAAATACCTTATTCACTTGGTTGGTTTGCTTCGATTTCAACTGAAGGATTTTCTCGCAAGTTCCCTGAACAATTCTCCTTCGCTCTCGCCAAGCTCCCGAATAATCCGTCAGAGGTTGTTCCAACTCTGTTTTCATCTTGTTAGCAGTGGTTTGGTGGGCCTTTCCCATAGACTCGACTTCTGCTCTGAGCACATCCATAGAAATCTTGAGTGTTCCTGTCTCAACAGAGCCAAGAGGTTTCTTTGAGAGTGCCAAAAGCTTCCTGGCAAATTCATCCTCAATCGCCGCTCGTGCTATTTAGTAATTAAACCAATCAGCCAATACCCTTATGAAGGTTCGAATTTATAAGCAGCTACCGGCATAAAAAGCTTTTAACTCTTCGCATGTAGTCTTTGCGTCATGCATGCGCTGCAGGAGAGGGCCAACGCCAGCATCATCCTTTCCCCAGAAATTGTTCGCAACTATTTCATGACATTAGACATGTGACCTCCAAATACCGGTACAGGTGAGGGACCAATGAGGGGGGATTGAAATGGGATGAATACATACAAGATAGCGAGACAGATGGTTCAGACATGTCCGAGGACATAAGCTGTCGCTGTAATCGTGTCATAGCGTATTAGGAGGGTTCGTAGGGGTCGTGAGGATCGTAAAGTGAGTGTGGAATGAAGCAAGGAGGCAGCGAGAACGCCTACAAAGGGCAAACGGCAATTGCTGCAACTCTAGGGACACGCACTATCGCTAGCTATCACTTCTTAGGGTGAGAATCAGAAGCGGGAGTGGAGAAGGGGGGGCCCGTATGTGGATGTCAGGCTGTAGATAAAGCTGTGGATGGTGTGTACGGGGAGATGTCGGCTTGTAGAGCACGGTTGCCATGGAGACAGGCTATGTAAAGAAAAAAGGCCGAAAAACTTACCCATAATACTGTACTCGTACTTGATAATACAACAAGCCCTGTCGCCAAGACGGGTAAGCGCGCATAATACTGTGCGACTATCATACTTGCGGTACAACGGTAGGGTATTTGGTCATGGTAAAGTGGCGGGGATAGTGAACGCTCGTTTGGACAAGGTGTTGGCACAGCGACACAAGCGGAGGCCGACCGAATGGGTGCATTGTCAAGGAGGATTTATTGGTGTTGTTTGCGCTAGTGTACCATTAGAATTAAGCTGATATCTGTTACTGTCCCATGACCAAATGCCTCACCCCTGTACTAATACGGTAATACCAGTACTCAAGTACTCGTACCGGTATGATACTTTATGGTCGATTGGGCTGTTGTTCAAAGGGTTTGTTATATACTTGTAGCTCGCCCCCCCTTCCCTTGCGGCCCGCAGTTATCACACAAGCGGATCCGCTACCGTAGTGGCTGCCGCAGGCTCTCTGGTGCTATCCTACTCGTACACCTGTCCCATACCAGTACTAGTATTCTTCAACACTTCCTCACAAGGAGGAAGCCTTCACAGGTGCAGTTGTGCCGGTATTCGAAAGAGTTAAAAAGTTGGCAACCATTAAGGGGTAATTCGGATACCGGTGAAGGCCAACAGGAATCCAGGGAACCTCTCCTTCTTCTCCACATTACCCTAGCTGAGATACAACGTATTGGAGGTTCACTGGTTGATTAAGTCATGATATTTTGGACTACCTGCCTCACCTACCTCAATCAATATCCTACCCCCCCCCAATTTTTTTATCTTACATCTACTCATACCAAACGACTTACTGCTCAACTCTTGCTTTTGTGGCAGGTTAAAAGCACCAGCAAGCATTCCTAGAAGAAACAGTGCTTACGCAATATGGATGACCATTTTGAAAATCTCGCCGGTAGATTATCGATGAAGCATGCATAAAATTTTGCAGAGACGTTGTTGCGGGTTGGCCTGTCCAAATCTGCATCACCGCGCAGTGCTCAAGCCGCGGGTGAAGAAGAGCCTTTGTCATTTTGGGCCTGAGTTCACCCGGAACGAGCACTGCCATTATTTGTGACGGATGGTGGTCTTCCTCTCTGAATGTTCCACTTGAGAACGCATGCCGGTGCTTAACCTCGATAATGCAGTCGTTGTTTTTCTCTTCTCCTTGATTTTGGGCTTATTAAGCGATATCTCAACAATCCATTAAATTCTACCACTGCTGGTATCATACATAGACTAGATACCGTGAATTGAGTCGAGTGGTGGCGATGGTCGCCACTGCGCCACAGGCGGTGGCTCGCCTCCTTCTAGAGTGGACAAGAGGGCATTGTACCGACCGCTTGTAGGCCTTGGATACTGGTACTCGTAGGCTACCGGTGCTCGTAAGTGCGTGTCTAAAGTCCTCGCACAATCAAGCCCTGAGCCTACCATAGAGTGAGGGTGAGTAGACAAGTATACGTTCTACATACACTTTGTGTCGGGGCGTGATCAAAAGTATTGTCTGCTAAGAAACGGAGAGAGAGCCCTTTCCGCTCCATCAGCAGCCATCACACACTTCACCAAGATACGGTACGATATCCTAAGTAACTGCTTTTCTCTTCTTTCTTCTCCTCTTCCTCCTCCTCCTTCTGCTTTACATCGATTAAAGTACCCAAACGTACTATCTTGAAACCCGTTTTCTTATCCCCCTATTCCCCGATCTTCTCCTCCCCATCCCCATACACACATCCTGCATACCCTCCGCCGTCTGTACTTCCCGCGCTTTGCTTTTACCCTGATACAAACTTTCGCGTCTTGGACCTTGCCCACCACCTATCCCTACTTTATCACCGATTGCCATAGCTACATTTACATTTAATTCTCATTTTTTTACCCCTAGCTACTACCCCTACCGTACTTGCCCTAAGGCACGACCTTTGTGCTTGAGCTTTGAATAAGGGCTTCTATATATTTTTCAACCGTACGGTAGGAACCATCACGCCGGCGTCCCCTCCCAAACACTTTTCGCCGCATCCTGCCGACTGTAACTTGCTTAACACCACTCTTCGTCCAGAGCCTTTCCCTCCGCACACATCCTTCCACCACCTCTCCCCCCTTCCATTTTAACGCATTCCTCCTCTCCTTCCTCCCACCCCCCCCCTCCCCCGCCTCCCACGCACCCCGAAAAAGAATGAGTAGCGGTCCCTGTCGCCAATAGAATGACAGCGCAGAACAGCTCGACACCTTCAAATAATACCACTTCTGATATCCATAATTACCCGCACCAGAAACCTCCATCCGTATCCGATCACGCCTCTCTCGGTGCCATTCCTCATTCTCTCTCTTCCTCATCGCAGTATCGGAGCCTCCATCTGCCAAGCAACTCCGATCTACATCAGCCCTTTTCGACCTCTGCCTTCGGCCAGACTACTCACGCTACTTCACAGAACCTCCCCGTCTCTGGAATTCCTGATTCAAGAAGCACCACCGCCGTCCCGTCGTCTTCCCAGCAACTGCAGCAGCCTTCCCAGCTACCGTCTTCTTCCTCCATAACGCTACCCTCCGAATTTATAGGCTCGACGGCGAAGCCCCCTGAAGGCGGTGGTGGGACCGGGAGTGCGGGGTCATTGCGTTTGGTGAAATTAGGCCTTGCGCACCTCAGCCTATTGATAAGTACTTTGACTGAGAGTAACTACGAGAACAAGCGTAAGGAGATTCGAGAGGTGAGCTTTCGATATCCTTGCTTGAAGGCTTGCCCTTTTGGACGGCTCCATGTTGTGTTATGCTGCCTGAATATCCTCGCACATTATTCATAACACCCTCCCATTTTTCCCCCCCAATTGCTAACATTAGGCACTGCTACTTCAGCTCCTCAACGTCAGCATGGAGATCAATAATAGGACCATGCGGAAGCTCATATCCAATAACTACTCATACATTATGTCGTCAACCAGTAGCCGGTCGTCACCCAATCCTAATCATCGACTCTTGACAGAGACGATTAAAGAGATTGCGAGTTCACCGCAAGACGCGAAGGAAAAATTTGCGGATGTGATTGCCGGAATGGCTAACGATGGTGAGATGGCGAGGGATTTTGATTTGGCAGTATTTCTCAGTCATTTTGGGCTGGACAGCCTGCAGAAATGCATATTGGCGGTGGGCTTAAAGCAGAGTCAGAGGCACGATCTCCGCAACAAGGGTATCAATCTTATTTATTCCGCCCCTACAGAGATAAGATTGCTGACCATCTGCGTCAAAGCTTATGAGATCATTCACAAGTCATTCAGGTCAATGTTAGAGATTCTGGCTAACCCCTCCAGACATCCTGAATTGAAGCCGGAGGGGATTGCGTTTTTCATCGACCAAATACTAGGAGAGCCGGTATACCCATTCGCTGATAATCTCAAACGACTGGAAATTTCGTACGCTGCGAGGTCACGCTACAAAAACATGCAATTACCACCCGAAATCCTCCATGTCACCGAGTCAATCGAGAAGCTGCGGCAGCAAGAGTCGCTGGTCCATATATTCTCCGTACTGGGGCCAGAGAGTACAAGCTCGCTGGAAAATTGTAGGGAGGTTCTCAAGCGGAAGTGGAAGGTTCAGATTTCGGAAAGTGAGATGACAGACATGCTGGTTCTGATGGCCACGGCAAGAAATCCTATCGAGTGGCATGCAGATTTTTTCGTGCGAGCTCTTCAGCATGAGAACCTACCTCAATCCTTTAATTGGGAGCGTGTAGTTGAGGGTTTGGATAGAGAGGACTTTGTCTTGGAAGGAACAGAAGGGTTGCATGTTATTCTCACCGCTTTGCAGCATGGAAACACCGATCCCGACTTTCCTATCCATAAGCTTTGGGGTGGTAGATGGAAGCATCCGCGGTCACAGTGGTCTGTTCTCAAGGGGTATATCAAAGCAGACAATCTGGACGTCAAGAGGATTCCTGGCATCCGAAAGGTGTTCTCTTCAGCTGATTTCCTATCTTCCAATAGTAGCCTCAAGCTTATGGTTGCTACCTTCGAAACACATAAGCTGATATCCCTTGATGCTGTGGATGCTCTTTTCCATCTTGCGTTGCACGAATCGATTCCCCCTGATGTCAAACAGGCAGCGCAAGCAGAGCTGGACAAGGCTGCTAAGTTTACACCAGAATTACTTCTTTGTGGGGCCTTAATGATACCCAAGCCTTGGCCCGAAAATTTAGAACATGTCATTAACAATCTGTTCAATATGTTTTTTGAAGGGCATACTAGTCATCAGCTGGTATTTTGGCGGCTTTGGCATGTCGACAGGCCATTTATTATCGGCCAGTTTGTTGACTACCACCTCGGGAACAACCTTAATATCACACGTATCCTAGATATTGCCCAGGAACTTCGATGTCTTAGTGATCTATTGGAGGTTAAGAATGCACCATTCATCCTTGATGTTGGAGCTTTGGCAGCTAGGAGAGAATACCTGAATCTTGAAAAGTGGCTTCAAGAAATGATCAACAAACATGGAAGCGATTTTGTGACAGAAACCTACCGATTCTTGCGGGTCAAAGCGGAAGCAGAGTACATTCAGACGAGAGAAGGTGGAAAGCCCACTATGGTTAGTCTTAGAGTCGGACCCGTCCACACTTTCCTTACCCTGCTCGATAGGAAGTAAGTTCCCCAGGCCTCTTGATTGCTATGTCAGCCACTAACTGCTTATGTAGTCATCCGCCGATGACCCAAGATATGCAAGAGAAGGTTACAGAAACCCAACGTTTGTGCATCCAGGCTTACCCACGGCTGATCAATCTTGGTTGTGGGATGGATTCCATCATCTTGGCGAATAATTCTGAGAGCAATACATTCCCTCCTATCGTCGACAAAGAAATGCAGCAGAATTACAAGATGATGTACAGCCAGGAGACTGAGATTAGTGAGATGGTCACCTATCTTCGCCAATTGAAAACGTCCTCAATCCCCCAAGATCAAGATCTCTTTGCTTGTATGATACATGGCCTCTTTGACGAATATCACTGCTACCCTTCATATCCACTCCAAGCGCTTGCGACAACCTCTGTGCTCTTTGGCAGCATTATTGTCTACAATCTCATCGACGACATTCCTCTACGTGTTGCGCTGGCAATGGTGTGGCAAGCTGTCCGCGATCACGACCCTTCTTCGACAATGTACAAGTTCGGTCTGCAGGCCCTGGTTCAGTTCAAGGAGAGGCTCAAAGAATGGAAATCTTACTGCGGCCTGCTTGCGCAAGTCCCGGGACTTCAAGGGACAGATATATGGAAGATTGCTCAAGATGTTATCGGTGGCAATGCTGACCGACAGAACGAACTGTCGGCAAACGGCAACACTGATCGAAAGGAACCCGGAGCTGTGTTAACTAATGGCGACTCCAATGCCTCGTCTCCCGAATCACCACAACACCCTCCATTTCGGTCTTTGGACCCCACTATGCCGTTTCGAGATCCATCGGCTTATACTGAACCCGACGAGGAAGTCCAGGATAGGGTTTTGTTCATCGTCAACAATGTTTCTCATTCTAACCTAGAGGAAAAGCTGGAGTCATTGAAGGAGCATTTGCGCGAGGAGCACCACCAGTGGTTTGCCGACTACTTGGTTGTGGAACGGGCCAAGCTCGAGCCTAACTACCACAAACTATACCTCGACCTTTTAGACAAATACAACGATAAGGGGTTAACAGCAGAGGTTTTGCGCGAGACTTATGTCAATGTTATCAAATTACTAAATGCGGAGGCTACTTTAAACAGCTCGAATGAGAGGACACATTTGAAGAACTTGGCTTGTTGGTTAGGAGGACTGACGATCGCGAAGGATAAGCCGATAAAGTTTAAAAATATCTCCTTCAGAGATTTACTTATTGAAGGATTTGTCACGGAGAGGCTCACGGTTGTCCTTCCCTTCACTTGCAAGGTTTTAGAACAATCAACCAAATCGACAGTCTTCAAACCCCCCAATCCTTGGCTAATGGCTACTATACGAATCTTGGTTGAGCTCTACCAACATGTTGAGCTCAAACTTAACCTGAAATTTGAGATTGAAGTTCTCTGCAAAAACCTGGATCTGGACATCAAAACCATTGAACCTTCGACAGACATCCGGGAAACTCGGGATAGGCCGGCAGAGAAAGTAGAGGAGAGCTTACAAGTTGTTGAGGATCTTCCTCTGCAGCCACAAGATTTCTCCCCCACATCAGATCCGGTTCCCGCCGGGTTTGCCGACCATGTTATCGTCAGTTCCGCGGTTCAACACCCTGCTATCAAACGCATTCTCCAGCTAGCCATAGATCGTGCCATTCGGGAGATTATTGGGCCGGTCGTTGAGAGATCCGTTACTATTGCTAGCATTTCGACATCTCAGCTCATCCAGAAGGATTTTGCGACAGAAGGTGATGAAGGAAAGATGAGGAACGCTGCGCACATCGTCGTTCAGCACCTTGCCGGAAGCCTGGCTCTTGTTACGTGCAAGGACCCGCTGCGGATGAGCATGCAGAATAACATCCGTGCCCTACTTGCCCAGAGTGGATACAATGAGCAAGTCATTTCAGATCAAACAATTACTGTGTGTGTCAACGACAATATTGATATGGCATGTCAGATCATCGAAAAGGCTGCCCAAGAACGTGCTATTCCAGATATTGATGACGGATTGAGTCAAGCGTACCAACTGAGGAAACGGCACCGGGAGTTGAGAACTAATCGACCATTTGTCTCCCCTGATGTTTCCCAAGTTGCACTACAGCTCCCAGATCAGTTCAGGTTGAAGCCAGGCGGACTCTCTCCCCAGCAATTGAGCATGTACGAAGACTTCAATAGGATGGCAAGGGCTCCAAACCCGGAGGGTGCCAGAAATTCGTTCGAAAGTGCTTTCCCAAACGACTTTTCGCCAAGCGGAAGCACAATTGTGGAACCCCCGCAGGCGCAGCCGAGAGCTTCCGAACGATCCCCCGGCGCCTCGGATGCTGGCCAGAAGGAAATTCAGTCTAAAATTTCGGTAAGTTTTTTTGGTGCGTCTATATGGAGGCTTGTTGTTCTAATGCTATATTTCCCCTAGGTCCTCTTGAGTGAGGTGCGGAAGCTTGCAAAAGAGTGTCGTGAGCAACACCTCAAAGACCTACATGCGGAGCACCCACTTTTCCAGTTCATCGAAGCTATACTCAGCAATGCGTCCCTGGCACAACCTAATATGCCTCGCCTAAAAGACGCTATTTGTACAACTGTGGCTTCCTCGGTATGCCTCATTTTGTATACGGACACGCAGAATCAGATGGAGGTTGAGGTGCTCGGGTTTCTCCTGCAGAAAGTTTGCGAGCTATCACCACTCACGGCAAAGGATGTCGTTATGTGGCTTTCCCAAGGCCAGGACGATGAGGTATGTGCCTGTTGATATATATGTATTTGCCGATGCTGATTTATACAGCGGATGTTCAATGTCCCAGTCACAGTCATGCTTCTAAAGACTCAACTTTTTGCGCTCACCCATCTTGATGCCACCATTGCCAGGTCAATTAACGCGAGAAAGCCTGCAGCGTTGGAGTTTTTGTCACAGTTGCTCAAAGAGACTGTCACTGGTCCAAATCCTCTTGCCCTAAGAGCCGATTTTGCATCGTCACTCGACGCCGTAGGTGGCTGGCTCAAGCAAGATCCCACTAACAAGGCGGCTCTTGAATTGGCTGGTGACTTTCAAGATTCAGACAGGGGAAATCAAGATGTAGATCTCGAGGACCGCGAGAAGCGTGACCAAATTGAGTATATATTCGCTGAGTGGATATCTCTCTGCCAGTATCTCTTGACATCAGAGAAGAATTACTCCTCCTTCATCATGCAGCTTCATCAGACCAAAGCTCTAGCTGATACGGCGTCCTCTTGCGAATTTCTTCGAACTTGTATCGAGTTTTGCATTGCGGAGTACGAACAGTCAACCAGCACCAACCCGACAGCAGCAACTAACTGCTATATCCCTATTGACGCTCTTGCTAAGTTGGTCGTCCTCCTTGTAAAGTACCAAGGGGAAGGCGATCAGAAGGGTCAAGCGGTCGACAAGGCAGACTATCTGAACAGCACTTTGGCCCTGATCGTTTTTGTCTTTAACCACCATCACGAGGCTCGCGGTGAGCACTTTTCACAAAAAGTGTTTTTCCGTTTCTTTTCCAGTATGCTGTACGAATATCACCTGATCGAAAACCAGATGATGGGGTACCATGAGAGAATATTGGAGACCTTTGCGGAATGCTTTTTAACCATCCAACCGGCCTTCTTTCCCATGTTCAGTTTCCACTGGATGACATTGGTTTGCCATCGGTACTTCATGCCTAAGCTACTTAGGCTCGAGGGCGAGAAGGTGAGATTCCATCTGGGATCAGCTCTTCTACGAATACTAACACTATTGAAGGGCTGGCCGGTATTTGCGAAGCTTCTGGAGACCCTTTTGGTGTATGTTGGCGCACCACTGAAAGAACGCTCTATTCCACCAGTCGTAAAGCTACTTTATCGAGGGATTCTCAGGGTCCTTTTGGTGCTACACCATGACTTTCCAGAATTCCTTGCTGAATGGCATTTCTCAATCTGCGAGGTCATCCCAGTTCATTGCACACAACTTCGCAATTTGATATTGTCTGCCTATCCCTCCTCGCTCTCGGACCTCCCAGATCCGTTCACAGCAGGATTGAAAGTTGATCGCCTGCCAGAAGTCAAAAAGGCTCCCAGGATAAGTGGTGATGTGTTCAGACCTCTTATCGATAGTGGGATAAAGCAGTTACTGGATTCGTGCCTTGGTTCCCCCGAAGGTTTGACGAACGCAGCGATACAAAGAATTGTGGAAATGTTGGACACAGAGCCTAGAAAAGTGACTGGGCTCGGATTCGCTACAATCACCGTAGACACCGCTATTATCAACAGTCTCGTCTTATATCTCGGAATGGAGGCCATACGTGAGGCCACTGAAAAGGGAGGCTCAACATTCCAGACGCAGAGCCCACATACCGCCTTGTTCTCAAAACTTGCAAGTGACCTAAAGCCTCAGGCCAGATACTTTTTCTTGAGCGCGATCGCAAATCACTTGCGCTACCCTAACAGCCACACCCACTACTTCAGTTATTTGTTGCTTTACCTTTTCGGCCAGGTCCAGGGCAAAACCAACGAGTCTGATGTGAGGCAGCAAATCACCCGCGTCTTGCTCGAAAGATTGATCGTCCATCGCCCTCATCCCTGGGGATTGATAATTACACTTCTGGAGCTGCTTAAGAACCCAACCTACGACTTCTGGCAGCTGCCGTTCATCAAGACCGCACCTGAGGTAATTGTTTTACTCACTAAAAAAGTCATGGTCCGCGATTTAGCCAGCTTACACTCTACAGATTGAGAGGCTTTTCGGTGCTTTGTTCCAACACATTAATAATTCCCCCCTTCGTCAGTGAACAAAAATAAAGCATTGTCACTTTCCCACTTTTACTCATTTCCTCGCCTTCCATGGAATCTTGCATACCTTGTCCTTTTCTCATCTCCGGGGGCGCGCTGAAGCTTTTCTTTTTTTTGTCTTGCCTTGTCTGTCACAACTGGTGGTTTTTCAGGGGGGAAAAGCACAAAACAAAAGTTATGTTGGGGTATTTAGATCGGGGTTTTTCTCTCTTTTCTTTCTTCATATTCATTCCCATGATTAGTTAGCATCCTTACCTCTCCGCATTTCCCGTTCGATTTCTTTCTTTTACCTTCCCTTTTTTCTTTGAGGAGGACGATGATAGAGACATGAACGGGATAGATTAGCCTAGTCTAGTTTCAATTCCATCTTACCACCTTGCCAAGAAAAAAAGAGAAAGCGAGACGAAAAACCAAAAAACTGTACCTTCCCTCTGTTTTCTTTCCTTCAATTATTGTTTTTTTCTTTTTTCTTTTTCCTTTTCTTCTCACAATTGCATACAGTATTGTACTACTCCACTATTTCTTCCCCCCCCCAAAAAAAAATTTCGGAAATTGTTTTGTGTATTATGTTACGGAGTTTGCGATGCCGCATAGTTTCCCCTCCCTTTCTTGCGGGAATATGGGGGGGTCAGTCCATGGCAGGCTTCCAGTGTGTTCGTCATTGTTTGTTTCCTGTCGATTTGAGCATGAGGGAGTGGAAATGGAATTTTCTACCAATGGTTTTATCCACCTTTTTCGCCTTTTTTTGCGCCTCACTTGGTTTGTCTCGCACTGTCTCGCATGGAGTGTACCGATAGCTTAAGTCGCTTTATGGGATTTTTTATACATATACATTATTTGAGTGCCTACGAGTATAACTGCTAGTATCGCAGGCAGAAGCGGTAGCATGAATTATGCTCGAGTGATAATTTGTGAACGGTAGTGAAGAGAGTCAAAATACTAGCAAGGAACCTGTGTATATTAATACTATATACCCCAACACCCTGAAGCCACGGTAAGAAAGAAGAGGAAAGAAGAAAAATAGCAACCAAGCCAAACGTACGCCCGCAGAAAGTGCAAAAACTCCACATTTGGAACATGAGAAACCGATCTACCAATGTTATCTCAGCGACGAAACCACCGCCGCGAGTAGTACACCGGGATTGATGGAGGTACCCGGGAAAAAAAGAGGTGAAAAAGAACAGAGAATAGCCACGATTTTGCACCGATTCTCGATCACAAATAAACAACACCCATCCCAACGACCTATAGAGACTTATCGCCAACAGTAGCACTCCGACTAACTGGGGCAATCACCGTCTCCTCCTTGATCACCTTCTCGATGATAGCAGGCACACGCTTTGTCGGCCAGAGGGATTCTTGGATAAGTCTCTTGTAGCCAGCGACAGCTTCAGTCAGGTCAGACTTCAGGACGTATTCGCTGTCACTGTGTGCTGTGAGGATTCTAGTGGAATGTCAGTTATTGATAGAGATGGGAATAAGAAGAGGAGGAACGTACGAGCCAGGACCATATAGGTAGCGTTTATGGCCACCATACAGGTTTGGGACATCAGTTCCATAGGAGCAGACTATCGTTTCAAAGTCTATTAGAGGAATTAGTTTGTGGCGGCCAGTGACAACAGCCGGGTGCAGGCACTCACTCTCAACGTCATGGTCCGTTTCCTGCGGTCCATAAGCAACACCAACAAATCTCAACTCGACAGGAAGTCCGTAAACAGTCTTCTTGATGACTTCCAACGTCTCGTCCAAGTCCCCAGCAAGACGGATGAGTACGGAAGCGTTAGCGTGTGGAGAGATAATGTTTGTAGCAACACCACCTTGAATCAACCCGATGTTGACAGTGGACTCGCCCAGAATGTCACTCCTCGGCAAGATCATGTGCTCAATCTTGTACAACGCCTCGACAAGATGGCTATTAGCGTTAACACCCAGTTGCGGGTAACCCGAGTGCGAGGCTTTGCCCTTGGCAATGACATCAAACATGACGATCCCCTTATGTCCCACGGCAAGTTTGTTCTCTGTCGGCTCCCCGAAAATCACAGTCTTCCACCTAGGTCCCAACGAGTTCGCAGTCTTCATTCCATCCCCCAACGTTTCCTCGCCGACAACAAACAACAACGAAACGTCCCCTTCAGCAATTACCTCCTCAGCGATTAACTCCTCCACCGCGGTGATCTGTGAAGCAACAGACCCCTTTGCGTCATTCGAGCCACGGCCGTAAATTGTGTTGGAAGTAGCCTTGTACGGGATAAAGGGCGGGACAGTGTCGATGTGGGAAGTGACGAGTGTGTGGGTTGTCCTGTTCTTGCCTAGGTAGGCAAATATGTTGACCCTGTCCTCACTCACAGCTTGCGTCTCCACAGTGAAGTTCTTGCCCATGAGGTAGCCTGCGAGCCATTCCCCGACTCCCTTCTCGTTTCCCGTGATGGAGGGGATTTCGATGAGTGAACGGTGCAAGGAGTAGAGTGGTGAAGTGCTTATTGGGTCGGCGAATTTCTTGATAAATTCAGGGACCTTGAAGGAGGCTCCCAGAGTCGAGCGTATCCCCCGGACCGAAGTGGGGATTCCAAAAGGGAGCTGGAGAGATTGGGTGAACGGCAATAGCAAAAGCCCGAGAGACGCAGGGTCGATGAGTTTCATTTTGAAAGTTTGAGATTATGTTTTAATCAAGTTTGATATTTTTTATCTGAAGAAAGGGGGAGAAGAAGTGGGATGGTTCAATTTTCCAGAGCAGATAAGGAAATGGGGGATTGAGACAAACAGACGAGTAATGCGTGAACACGGCTCCAAAAGACGTGGATACTTCGAGTTGTCAAACAGCCAAGGTAAGGCGGAGGGTGAGAGGGATCGAACGAGAGAGAGGGGGGGGAGGAATACCGTAGAGCTGGGGGAGAAGGATGAAAACAAAGATAGCAATAAAAATGGAAAATAAAAGGGAGTACAATACCGGCAGGACCAGAGAAGGAGTAGAGGAAGAGAGAGGGCAAGAGGAGAGAAACAAAAAAGTATGATGTAATCCATTCCCAAAATAAATAATATCATAATATTATTTATAATTGTTTTTTTATCGCGATTTCCACCAGAGACAAACTTCATAGCATACAGCAAGTGATGCCGCCAAGACCTTCATATTCACCCATTACATTTCCCCAATCTTTAGGGATCTGTTGTAGCCCAAGTCAGAGTACATTACAGTACGAGTACAGTCTTCGAGTACCGGTACGGGTATTACGGGATTGGCATTCCAATATTGGCAGGGTAACCCCCCCTTCACCCAGCAAGAAAGTAATAATGGAACAATGGCACCGCCGTGCACAGCACTTGTAAGGAGAGCCCTGTCCATTTCCCAATTTTCTTTCCAACCCCGCAGCTCAAAGTTATCCCAATCCCGTTTTTCCACCGTGCTGCTTCTGCTGCTTCTCATCTAAACCAGGCACACGACAACCTCCACAAATCCTCGATCACAACATTCCATCCCATCTCATCCCAAAAAAGAAAAAGAAAGAAAAACCCCCGCATGGACATCGACGACCTTCTACAAGAATTGGACGATAACAAGGTTCTAGGCGGAACGCGAGACATAAACGACCTCACACAGTCGTGGATAGCGGAGCGAACGGCCCCGGAGATCCTGCCCTTTCAAACTGCATTGCTGGAAAGGTTAATGGAACGGATCCGACAGCAGGTACTTCAGCTTTGGCATCCTCATTTTCATCTTATTTTTTCGTAGGGGGTTTGGAAGTTAATCCTGGGAGCATTTCCGAAAGTAATATAGATTGAATTGGTAGAGACACAGACAGGAAATTTGGATCCGAAGACGAACTTCTGTCTTATCCTTCTGCAGACGGAATTGGAGAGGGTAAAGTTTCTTGTCAGAGGTTATCTTCGGGCGAGGATACATAAGGTATGTTTGCGTCTACCTGTCATAACACATAGTCCCCCCTTTCCTTTTCCTTTTCCTTTTCCTTTCCCCGGGATTAAATGAGATGGGGTAGCTAAAAAATCCGCTCCACCAGATCGACAAGTATTCAATATACATCCTAACGACACCTTCAATCCGTGGTAGGCTATCGCCGCCCGAGCTATCGTACTTGAAATCTCACCTTGGACTTCTTAATTCACACTTTCTGGCATCCTTTCTCCGCCGATTTCCTGAACAGTTGCGCCGGCTGGACGATAAGGCCGGGGGGATATCCATGGTCGAGGAGCCGGACCTTGATGGTGCCGTGTTCTGCAAGGTAGTCAGAGACATTGAGGATAATATTGCCCGGATTCCGGGTACGGATTCTGAGTTTAAACTCACGAAGGGGGATGTCTATGTTGTCCGATACAGCGCCGTCCGGGAATTCGTCCTCCGTGGAGAGATAGAACTGATATAATGGCGAAGCTATAACGATGTATCCCTGCTCTACCTTTTTTCTTTTTTTTTTTTGAGCGTTGGCGTTTTTCTCCCTTCCTTGAGATGAGTTTTATCATGGGTGAGCGGGGATTGTATCATAACTGGCGTTTTATGGCTTTTTTGAAGGGAAAATTAGACTCGCTTATATGGTGGGTTCTTTGGCTAATGACAAAGGAGGGATGTGCGGTACTTTACATTGCAATGTGATATTATGAGGTCTGGGGATACTATCTTATTTCTGTTACTTGAAAATCTGAATTCCCCTTCTACTGTTGGTCAAGGTTGTGGCTAGCAGTCACAATTCCTGGTTGCTCACTTTCTCACAACCTTGGACACTTGGGAGGAGTGCCTGGCAGTTCAAGATGACTTTATAGCTTAGCATGACTTTATAGCTTACCATTGTAATGTTGTAACTTAACATAACTTCGTGGCTTCTGATAGCAATTTTGTAGCTCAATTCAATCTTGTAGTTTAATTACAGTATTTTTACTAGATAATATTACATTATTATAAGAAGTTTAATTAAGGAAAACTTGTAATAGTTAGATATATGGGAGTGCACAGACCCCTCGGTAGGGTAACTGTGCACAGGCCGTCATTTATTAGAGTTGCCAACACCTCCCTCTTGTCTCATTATGAGGACCACATATCCTGAACGAGATTTCAAAAAGTTGTATCCTATAACTACTCTGCCAAGGTTGCTCGCTAGCAGCTACAACCCATGGTTGCTCGCTAGAAGCTACAACCCATAGTTGCTCGCTAGAAGCTACAACCCATGGTTGCTCGCTAGAAGCTACAACCCATGGTTGCTCGCTAGAAGCTACAACCCATGGTTGCTCGCTAGAAGCTACAACCCATGGTTGCTCGCTAGAAGCTACAACCCATGGTTGCTCGCTAGAAGCTACAACCCATGGTTGCTCGCTAGAAGCTACAACCCATGGTTGCTCGCTAGCAGCTACAACCCATGGTTGCTCGCTAGCAGCTACAACCCATGGTTGCTCGCTAGCAGCTACAACCCATGGTTGCTCGCTAGCAGCTACAACCCATGGTTGCTCGCTAGCAGCTACAACCCATGGTTGCTCGCTAGCAGCTACAACCCATGGTTGCTCGCTAGCAGCTACAACCCATGGTTGCTCGCTCTCTTGCAACCTTGGGCACTCCTCTAAAGTGCCTGACAGTTCAACATAACTTTACGGCTCAATATAACTTTGTGGCTTACCATTGTAATTTTTGTGGCTCAACATGACTTCGTGGCTTCTGAAGTAATTTTGTGGCTTAATCAAACCTCACAGCTTAATCATACTATCGTTATTCAACTTCTTCGTATTACTGCATACTATTTTATTTTAGGATACAAAATTATTAATCTGAAAATTTGCTTTTTGCTTAATACACATTACTATCAATCTGGATATTTTCTTTTTGTAAGTACGAACTGAACGTCTTTGTTTTGCTTGTGCCTTTATCTCATTCAAGAAAGGCTTACGTTCTTCTTGCTCTGCTTTTTTCTTGGAATTTATAGCTCTACGTAACTGCTTTTCAGCCTTTTCCACCTCTGCATCCTCCCTTTTTTTTACCATCTGTCTTACTTTAGAGGCATAAATTACACTACCTTTTTAAATCTGCTAATGGTTACTAGCATGATGTCTAGCATTTTGTGCTTTCTCTACTGCTCACTGATGTTGTAAATTTTCCATAGCCAATGCATCTGCCTGTGCTAGCACTAATCCACCTTGCAGTACAGCTTTCATACTTTCCTGAAGGCTAGGTGGTGGATCACCTGCTTTACCTAATAGCTTCACACTTTGAGCTTGAAGGGTAGTAATAGTTAAAGGAATTTCTGATGCAGATTCTGGTAGCAAGGATTCAGGCTGAAAAGTTAGACTTACTGCTTCATGTAGCTAAATATTACAATATCTGGATTGAAGGGAATTAGTTCAGTTGCTTTAAAGGCAGATCGAATTGTAGATGGTTTGAGGGTTTGCTGTCGAATAGAGTCGATAGTATCTAGGAATTCTGTCTTATCAAAGTCTCCACATCTTGTGCATATTGCTGCCTCTACAGCCTCAGCATGGTAATGTTTGTAGTGCTGAAAGACAACTACATCAAGTGGTTGGAGAAGGTGGCTTGAATGTGGAGGGAGGCAGAACACAATAATCTTATTATACTTACAATAATCAAGAAACTGCTTTGTATAGTATGATCTAAAACTATCAAGAAGTAGAAGGCGATTGGTATCCTTAAGTTTCTACAAAGAAATCCGATAAAAGTGGCTTAGCCACTTTATTGTTAACTCATCATTTGTAACCGGTACAGGTACTTGGTTATTGGTTTTGTTTTATGTTTTGTTTTAAGTATCGCTTTGATACTTGGTTTTGTTTTATGTTTTGTTTTAAGTATCGCTTTGATACTTGGTTTTGTTTTATGTTTTGTTTTAAGTATCATTTGATACTTAATTAGTTTTACCAAAGTGTATGAATTGATACCTTTGACTAGTTTTGTTCATGCTAGATATGAACAGATTTGGGTATTTAAAAACCGCCTGATTCCACGATGGAAAAGGCAGACTTGGACAGATAGTATTTCAATATACTTGGTTGAACTGTTACTTCTTTGTTCCTCAGTATACCTTTGAAATCTCCTTTAGGTTTCAGCTCTTACCTCCTCTCTAGTAGAGCAGGCTATCTGCCAACTATTGTATCTGTTACCGATAATGTGATTAGCACCTTGTGAACATGTTACATTTTTTTAACCTCAGCAAGTGGTTAAGAACCTGTCTCTGGATTTAGGCCTGATCAACCTATCAATATCTACCTCAGAATACTAGCAGAGAGAAGTGGCAGAATAACGGCACATTCAGCTTCGTCTCAAAACCAACATAGAGTCTTTGACGACCAGGAGTGGGAAGCAAATCCCATGGTAAGACCTTACAAGAAAAAAACAAACCCGGCACTCTGTTAAGGAGCTGGGAGAACCTGCAAATACAGAAGCCACACAACCCCCAGGAGAATTCCTATCTACACCAGCAAAAAGGCCTTCCTTTGAACTTCCGATCGACCCCGAGTCCAGTAGCAAATCAGATATGACTAGTACAGGAGAAGGGCCTTCATGAGAAGGAAAGTCTCGGGCTTGGTCTGAAGAAGAGGAAGTACCCGTAGCATTTGAACCCCCTAAGTCCAAGCTCTATCTCTCAGTGAAGTTCACAGGAGAAGAAAAAGACCTCAAAGCTGAAGCTTTTGATCGATAGGTGACTGAACTTACACACTAGCTTCTCATTCAAGGGAAAGATATGGAAGACCCTATAACTGGATGATTCATTGGATCATTCTGTAAAGGAAAGGCAACCGACGCATACCAACAATGCTATAAGGAATATGGCGGAAATGTAAGATTAAGAAGATTTACTATTCTTGATTACCTGAAAGGCCGATTCCAAGCCTCTATTACCAACGACCTCCTATACAACAAATTCAACAAGCTCCACCAAGTTAATGTAACGCATGTTAATAGAATCACAGATGTAGCTACAGATCTGATGATGTATAAGGATGGAATAAAGAAAGGAAGTATTTCCAACTACATCCTTAAGCGACGATTCTATGATGCCATGTATCCTACCCTCCAGCGAGAAGTAGAACCACTCAAGGAAGATGACGATGATATTGTAATAATAATTGCAAGGGCAGAATGAAAGGACGCTATCCTCCATGAAACTAAGGCATACAAAACACAGACATCCTCTAGCAGTAATAGGTAACCTCGACACAAGCCCTCTAACAACTCTGAAGATGATATCCTATGGGTTTATAAGACGAAAACCAAATCCTCCAAAGAATCGAGACGATAGAAAGGAGAATGCTTTGAATGCGGAAAAACAGAACACATGGCAAAGAACTGCCCTACGAAGAAAGGGAAAGGAAAGGTGATTAAGCAAGAGGCATCAGCCAACAATATTGAGAGCGATAGTGATGATGATGCCTAATCCAGCGAGTATGAGGAAATCCATATCAGATATATCGATGTGGAATGCAACAGTGTCCAACCACCTCCTACTTTCAAGACACACAGCGCCCTAGAAGGTACTATTCTAATCAATGGCAAGAAAGCTTGGGTCCTATTCGATACTGGCATAATTAGAAGAGACATGATCAGCAATGTCTTTGTCTCTGTCTATAGACTCCCAACCCGAGACCTTAACCAGCCCATACCAGTCAATATGGTAGTAAAGGGATCACGATCCACAAGCCATAAAACTTGTAGTGCAACTATCCAACTTGGTTCCGCCATCCTACCCCCCCAAGAGATGCTAGTTAGAAACCTAGCCAAATACGATGCTCTGATAGGGATGCCATTCCTGAACTGCCACAAAGCTATAATCAGATGCGGGGAATCAATCATCGATTTCCCAGATTGGAAGGTCAGAGTCTCATGCAAACCAACAAGCGGAAAGTACCAAGCTGCAGTCTGTGAAGCAACTGCCCAACACCTATTGGATGAGTACTCTGAAGTTTTCCCTGATCAGATTTCTGAAGAACTGCCACCTATGAGGGAAGTGAACCACTATATCCGCCTTCGAGACTCCTTTAATCTTAAGAACCAACCTACCTACTCTATTCCTGATATATACCAAGACCCACTATGTGACTTGATAAACCAACAACAAAGAAGAGGAGTCATCTACCAAGCAGAAGCACCAGGTGCCGTACCTATGTTTGTCCAACCCAAAGCAGATGGCAAAAGAATTCGTCCCCTAGTTGACCTCAAATTGTGAAATAAAAACATGGTTATGGACAGTTCCGCTATCCCAAACCAAACCCAAATCCTAAATGCAGTTGGACAGGCTAGATTTTAAAGCAAGATTGACCTAAGCGATGCCTACTTCCAGACAAGGTTAGATCCAGAAAGTGAATGCTATAACAGTTTTAAGACACCCTTTGGAAGTTTCATTAGCCGAGTTATGTTATAAGGTGATATGAATGCGCCCACCACCTTTATGCAAATTATGGAAAACCTCCTAAGCGAATACCTTTACCATTTTGTATGGGTTTATATTGATGATATTCTCATTTTTTCAAACTCCAAAGTAGAACATACCTACCATATAGGTTCGGTGTATACCAGGCTAAGAGAAGTTAAGTTCTATACTAACAGAAATAAATCAATCCTGTTTGCTGAAAAACTTGATATCCTGGGACATGTGATAGATGATGAGGGAATACAGACAGACCCCAGAAAAATATCCTGTTTAACAGAATGGACAACACCCCGAAATCAAAAGAAACTCATGCGATTCTTAGGACTGGTCAACTATATTTTCCAGTTCCTACCACACCATGCCACTGTGACAGCGGTGCTTACAGACCTTACTGGCAATTCAGAATTTGTTTGGACCCATACTTATGATCAAGCCTTTACTAATATTAAGGAATTGATTAAGATTGCCAATATTATATGGCCTATCGACTACAGTAAATCAGACCCGATATGGCTG